AGAGGGGGTGCCCGGGCTGGACCGAAGTCCATGTGGGCTTGTCGCTAAAGATAAATAGGGACGCTGGGGAAGAGCCTGGATCCGACAAAGAAGAAGAAAAGAAGAGAAGAGATCCAGGCTCACAGAACATCTTGAAATACCCAGCATCGTTCCAAACGAGGGCGAATTCCCTTTTAGAGCAACTTCCATTAATATTGCGCAATTGAGACAGCAGGAACGCACTATATCAAGTAGATAGGGTAAGAGACACAAGAGAATTCGTCCATGGGAAGTGGCTACCAGTTAAAGGAATGGTAGAAGAAAGTGCAATCCAGTAATTGGTACCTGGAAATCCAATAATCACCCATGGACTTGACCTTACCGCTTGGTTCATTCATGGTTCGCCTCGCCATAGCCATACAGGTAGAGTAAAACCCAGATATCAGCGGTGCCCTTTCGTAGACTGACCTCACGACTAGTCGAGGGTGTGGCTTGACTACTAAAATGTGCTTGTCAATTATGAGCAACGTCACTTTCGTCGGGTATTTCCAGCGATCTGGGACCGCGTTCGTCGCAGGGCCATGTAGGCCCGGAGAGACAGACATGGTCTTCTCTCCACCAACTACCCACACAACAGCCCAAGATATAAAAAGTACGGCGAAATTTTTATGCCTTACAATTCCTTGCACACATTTCTAGGGCTCCAAGTCTCATGATTTCTCATCCTTTGCTCTTTGAGTTTAAAAAAGAAAAAGACCAGAGCGCAAGAACATAGAGTAATCTAGTGTATATGGCATTTTACAAGTAAGATATAAACAACAAAGAAATAATTTATTCTTCCTTAGCGGCCATTGGTAGTACCTTGAGATAATGTGTACGAAGGTATTCCTACTTACCTTACCTAGTAGGTAGATTAGTACTTATCTAGGCCAAAGAACACAGGTGTACAAATACACTCGATGTAGCAGTTTGTTGGCATCAGATACCTACTTAGCTATAAAACTATAAAATACATTTTCACATATATCCAACTTCATAGTCTTACAAACATTTACCCATCATTCAGAGTCTCCATGCTCAAAGTTCAGCTCGATTTGTGCGATCCTCGGATCGACCATCTCTCTCGTTGTAAAAGTGCTTCTTTGCAATCAGCCCCTTCATGCGTCCCAGGCGACTCATAAGACTGGCATCGTAAGGAGGTCCCTGCATCATGGCCATAACAAAGGGTCCCTGAGCACCCCAAGTACAGCTATGCAAGTGATCTGAGATCTGCTCAACCAACCCCTCGAGATCACCGAGCTGTTCGTTCGGGAACAAACCAACTGGTTTCATCTCGTCAAGAGCGTCAAAGGCGGATGTAGCATCGCCGTAGCGCTTCCAGTGGATTTCAGCGAGTTTGATGAAAAAGGTGGTTGATACGCCGAGAACGTAAGAGGAGAGGCCGAGTTCCTTGACACGTGGGAGGATGTTGAATGCGAGGATAGATGATCTGGCAAATGCGGTGTCGAAGAGATCGAGCCCGTAGATGAGATACTGAGGGTACAGATGTCCGTGGATATCCATAACAGGCTTCTCCCCTTCTGCCTTCTCTGCTTTCTCGGCCTTCAACTTTTCAGCTTTCTCCTTCGCAATTTGCTCTTTGGATTTCCGACCCCTCTTTACCGCTGTGTCTTTCTCGACAATACCCAGCTTCCCAGGCAAGGAGAATACCTCTTCCTCCATGACATTCCAAAGCTCAATGTCAGTCTCACAAGCCTTCATGAGATCCTGCACTCTCTTCTTCTCTTTCTCCCTAATCTGCTCATACTTTGCCCACTCACGCATCTGTTTCTTCTCCGCCTGATCAAGCTCAGCCAAGCTGTAAAGATTAGGGCGCTTCGGTGCAAGTTCGAATTTGCCCAGAGCGTTCTCGGCAGCTCTTCGAAGAGATGCTGGGTAACGCTTGAGGAAGTCATCGCTGAAGTTCGAGTTGTGGGCCTTTTCGACAAGTGTGTTTCCTCCACGTGCCGCATCTGGTCGCTGTTGGTTTGGTGGTGAACTTGTAGGTTGAGTTTGGCCAGACTGAGAAGGCTTTTTGTTTTTGGCTAAGCGGCCTTGAGCAATATCGTCGAAAATTCCTTTGAAAATTTCTGTTTCCGTCGGCGTCAAAGTTCCTTGTCGTTCAATCTCAGTTTCGTTTGCACTTGTTGTCTCCTCCTCGTCAAACTCGAAAGGAATCTCAGAATTATCAGCTTTTCTGAGTCGTCTTGTCGAAGTCGCCACTCCCGCTCTTTGAGTGAAAATAATGCTCGCAGGACGTCTACAAGCGAGCTGCAGTGTCCTTGTTTGATACAAGAACGGTAAAAGATTTCGAGACATTTTTTATGTTGCGTTCAAGGACTAGCTAAAACATTTAATTCACATGAGATTTTCTGAGGCTGAAAATTGATACTGGTTGAAAATAGTGGTCGGTTGAATCTCGGATGAACGCGTAGGCACCAGCGCGTGACTTCGCGCCAAATTCAATTAATGAGTCGCGCTTTGGTTTGTGCCCTTCACGTCACCATTCACGATCCTCCCACTTTTGCCGTTTGCGCAAAACAGCACAAGCACTCGAATTTTTTGCTCTGGGGAGGCTATTACAAGGCCATACTTGTCACATTTGCTTCACGGACCTTTGTTCAAACTTACTTTTCGTGCCCCTCATTCACCGTGACCATGCCTCCTAAGAAAAGCGTCGACTCGCCCATGAGCGCCTTCGAGCGTAGGCGACAAGAGAATATGGCGTCAAACCAGAAGATTCTAGCCGATGTCGCCGTAGTCGCTAAGAAAGTTATGCCGAAACCCCCAAAGAAGTCAACGCCAACCCGATCGAAGACCCGGACGCCTGCGAAACGGGAGCCTGCGATGCCGACTCGGCAGTCCTCACGACTCGCTGGTCTCGATGCAGACAACGATACACTAAAGCGAAAACTGGCTGTCGAAGCCGAACATGTCGCAGCGGAGGCGAAGGCTAAAAGGTTGAGAGTAAATGGAGACTTGAAACTCGGCGATATCGCCGTTGAGGGCAAGAAGTATCTCGCTGGTGTGGACGGGTTTAAGGGCCTCGTCCGTGGTGCGCAGCCCGGAGTCCGAACGTTCACGGAGGAAGATATTAAGGAAACCACCGACAAGGATTTGAAGGAGCTGCGAAACCGTATGGGCGGTTTGAAGTTATACGAGCACTGGGCTCCCAATGGTAAGTAGTGTCTCGCACAAGCGAGAAGCATGTCACTAACCACTGGAACACAGACATCAAGATCACACCCCAACGTGTTTATGCTCTCGGCCTCCACCCCACCGAGTCGAAACCTCTTATCTTTGCTGGTGACAAAGAAGGTAACATGGGCATATTTGACGCTTCGCAGTCTGCTCCTGAAGTCAGCGATGAAGACGAAGATACATCTGTGCCTGATCCTTCCATATCTGCGTTCAAGATACACAGTCGCACGATTACTTCCTTCGTTTTCTCTCAGCAAGATAACAACTCTGTTTACACGTCTTCATACGACTCGTCAATCCGGCGACTGGACTTGAACAAAGGAGAGTCCTACCAGGTATGGGCGCCATCAGATCACAATGAGGACCTGCCCATTTCAGCTCTTGACATGGCAGAGTCGAACCCCCATATGTTGTACTTTTCTACACTCGAAGGCGGTGTCGGCCAGTACGACACTCGAACCTCCGATGACGCCGAAATTTGGACACTTTCGGACCAGAAGATTGGTGGATTCTCTTTGCATCCGCTCCAACCTCACTTGCTCGCGACTGCATCGTTAGACCGCACACTTAAGATTTGGGATCTTCGCAAGATCACTGGCAAAGGGGATCTCAGACATCCTGCCCTCCTTGGAGAACATGGATCGAGGCTGTCTGTATCGCACGCATCTTGGAGTCCTGGTGGCCATATTGCGACTAGCTCATATGACGATACTATTAAGATCTACAACTTCCCTGACGCTTCATCTTGGAAACCTGGCCAGGACATAAGCATTGAACCTACCCATCAAGTACGCCACAACAATCAGACTGGTCGTTGGGTGACTATTCTGAAGCCCCAATGGCAGAAGCGGCCTCACGATGGAATTCAGAAGTTTGTCATTGGCAACATGAATCGTTTTGTGGATGTTTTTGCTTCAGACGGTAGCCAACTGGCTCAGCTTGATGGAGATGGTATCACTGCAGTACCAGCCGTTGCACACTTCCACCCATCTCGCGATTGGGTCGCTGGTGCGACGTCCAGTGGTAAGCTTTGTTTCTGGCAGTGAGCCTCGGATTACCGGTTTCAAAAAGGGGCGCATGGAATCATCAGCATTTAAGCGGGAGTTTTGGTTTGCTATATCTCGTGAAAAATGGATCAGGTTGTCGGCAATGGCGGAACGGAATACGCGTTTGTTGGAGTAGTGTAAAATACGAATGTCCGAGTACGAGAGTCGAGGACTGTCGGACCCTTGTTTTAAACAGTTGCTTTTCTGTACATAGAGGCTGAGTCGATCACGTTTTAACGTTTGTGTGGAATCTACTGCTCCTAGCCACTCAAGATTTCGCCCCAAAGTGAATGACAAGCCATGGCGTTCCTCTGACTCAGGCACCGAAACTTATCGCATGGACGCTCATTATGACGTGGATTCACAAACAGCTGATCTCTCTTCTCTGAGTGAGGGCCTTTATGGTCAGCATGGCAAGGGCACTATTCACATCATCTGGGCTTGTTTTCCCACTTGACCAATGCTTGCATGTGATCGATTCACGGTGTTGAAAGATGAGCCGCCCGATTGGCGTCATTTTTTATCGATAACAATTTCAGCCAATCATAGGTCATTCTGGACTCACAAGAGTGGATAGAACACAAGGGTTCCATCATTTCCCCAGGGTATTTCCACCGCTGAGAAGGTCAGATCCACTAGCCGTCCCCTAAAACCCCACTGGAGATTCAGGCAGATTGACCTAAAAGCCTAGGCAGCGTCAGCCCCAGGGTCAGGTTCCTTCTTGATCAGGAATGCCGTGATCCTTATCTTGATCCATGCTTCGTTCGTTTCCTTGCGATCCGAATGTTTGTTTCCTCCAACTCCTCTTTATGTTTGTTTTTGTTCTCCCCAACAATAACATTCGTACCGTAGCGTAACACTCACACAAGCGAATCTTCACGAATCCCGATACGCGCAGTGGATGGCATCAACTTCGAGTCGTATTGTTTCCCCACGATAGCATAGCGTTGGCTGTTTGCGGCGCAAACCGGGTCCATATTCACGACTGCATGACCACTCGCATCCCATCCTCGGACCGTGTCTAGAATTTAACGCTCGATCTAATTAGACTTCGCACAAGAAATATTGAGGCGACACGTTCGCGGACCATCCCATCCTTCCGATCGCAATAGTACCACGACTGTAAGCGCTCGTTGACCTTCGCCCCGCTCGACTTGACCGGCCATCATGGCTTCTCAAGCTGATGATGCTCCGGCCCAAGCCAGCATTGGCGCGGGGGACATCAAGGAGCATGTCCACGAGGAACTCCATCGAAGGAAGCGACAAAACTCTACCGCGACCGTGTTTCCCGAGCCTCTACGAGAAAGCGATGCCGAAGACGAAGAAGAGGATGACACTACACAAGGGCCACCGATGTTCATGAACATGAACCAGAGCATATTCGGTCTTATTGCGACTGCTAGCTCTCGTGTCGACTTTAATGATCGATTCGATGGAATGAGTAGTGACGAAGAGGGTGAAGGATCATCATCACAACATAGCCGTGACCATATCGCACAAACATCGATCCTACAACCAGGAGGCAAGGGAAAGGACAAAGGACACAGAAGGAAAAGGCTTTCGGAGCATAAGTTGTTGCGATCGCTACCTGCGTTGCCGAAACTTCGTTCCCGGCATAAATCCCAGCCATCTCGACTATCTGCTCCGGTTGAGACTGCTGATGAATCCGACGTGGAAGACAACGGCACTTTGTCGCCTGCGCCAGCTCTTACCCTGACACGCCAAGATACGCAAGGTGTCATGAGTAGGATGTTGGAGGCCAAGGCGGACTTGTCTAGCAGACCCAGCTTCGATCTGGACCGGTTATCATCTGATGTTAGTCGATCTAGTGATGGCGAGGTAGTCTCGGCTCTGGCAAAGAAGCTCAAGGAGATTTTCGAGTTTGATACATACGAGCAAGTCATTGAGGGTTTGTTAAAGTTTGATCTTGATCTTTTGTCTTAGTATGCTAATCGGCCATAGAATACCCCTGCTGGCTGCTACAAAGTGTCCTTCTTCAAGGATACATGTACATCACTTCCAAGCATATCTGCTTTTACGCATACCTCCCCAAGAAGGCGGCATGTCATGGACTCCCCAATTGCGAGATAGTTACTAACATAAGTTCAGAACGAGGCCGTCAAGTCAGGGTATCTATCGAAGAGCGGCAAACGCAACCCAAGCTACACAAGGTTTTGGTTCCGACTAAAGGGCGATGTTCTGGCATATTACAAGACTGCGACAGACGTTTACTTTCCCCACGGACAGATTGATCTGCGATATGGCATCTCGGCAAACATTGTGGACAAGGATAAGGAAGGTCTACATTTCACAGTTGAGACACATCATCGAACGTACAAGTTCAAGGCCGACAGTGCTCCAAGTGCGAAAGAATGGGTCAAGAGCCTGCAGAGAGTCATCTTTCGAAGTCACAACGATGGTGACAGCGTCAAGATCTCATTACCGATTAAAAATGTAATCGATATTGAAGATACTCAGATGATTGCATTCGCCGATACTTGCAAGGTTAGAGTCATTGACAATGACGAGACATATGCTATTGACGAGGTAAGTGCCCAAAAATCTTGGAAAGCTCTCCACTAACAGCCACAGTACTTCTTCTCTTTCTTCAGCTTTGGGAAGGACGCCATCAATGTGCTTAAGATCCTCATTGAGGCTTCTGCAGAAAGCCGGTCTGCGGAGAAAGCTGTGTCTAGCCTTGAAGAGAACGAGAGCTCTCAACCTCCATCTGGCCGGACATCGATGGCAGCAAGCCGTCATCTTCCCCAAATTGACAGACTACATACAGGAAAACTTCCCGATACCGTGAAGGCCACACTGGCTCCCATGTCGCCACTATCGCCTCATTCGCCAAGCCAACTGAGCCCTCGAGCAAGTATGGACGCTCCACGATCAAGCTTTGACGGCTTCAGGAGATTTGGACGCAAGAGTATGGATGTACCAAGTTCCATCGGAGACTTCAGCCCTCGCAGGAGCTTCAGCGGCACCAGACGATCAACGAGTCGTCATCAACACGGCAGCACGACTCCCAGACAGCAACAGGCTCAGGACTCGGGAGATTCGTTTATTCATTCATCGATTGACAACCCAAGTATCTCCACGCTATCACCGTCTTCGTTTGAGGATCCATCCGCGAGCCAGATTCTTCAAGGAAGCGAGGTCTTTCACAGCCCAACGATGCGACGCTCTGCTTCGGCATCTAGAAAGCGCGATCAGTCTGGGAAGAAAACGCCTCGGAACTCTACTTCCAATCGAGAGCGCCCTCGCCACATTCACCATGCAGCAACGACAGGTGCTATGCAGGAAATGGGTGGTGAACCGAGTGATTCTCAGCGTCCAGTAACACCAACACTCAACAGTATCACTAAGATTGGAGCATATCCCTTACAACGAGCTAACGCCTTTGCGGAGTATCTAAGTCGTACAAGCCAGCGTATGGGTTCTATGTTTGCGACCGAGTCACTGGGGTATGTGGAAAAGGTGCATGGCATGTGGAAAGGAGAACATAGGCATTACGATGAGCCTCAAGAGCTCAAGACCGATGATGATGCCGATGATATCGACTCTGACGCGGAAGACAAGACACAGACCGCCATGGATCGATTCCGAGCGCATTTCACCTTGCCCGAGTCAGAGAAGCTTGTTGCAACGTACTTTGGGGCCATCTTCAAGGTCTTGCCTCTTTATGGAAAGTTCTATATCAGTGATCGATCATTCTGCTTCCGAAGCTTGTATCCCGGCACAAGGACAAAGCTCATCCTACCTTTGAAGGATATCGAGAATGTCCACAAGGAAAAGGGTTTCCGGTTCGGTTACTACGGCCTTACCGTCGTCATTCGTGGTCACGAGGAGCTATTCTTTGAATTTAGACGACCAGGGCTCCGAGATGATTGCGCGGTGACGCTGCATCAACTCATGGAGACTAACCGTTTTCTTGAGAAGTCTGGTTTCCTTGACCAAGAGGAGCAAGACGATGAAGAAGCTGCTGCTGCAATTGCGGAGCGCGACGCCCTGAAGGCTGCGCGACAGGACGAGTTTGTCAACCACGAGCTGGAGCTACCACGCGAGACCTCTGGAGTTTCGAACGCTCCAACAATATTGTTTGACAACCCCAATTCGTCCGGTCTTGCGTTCAAGCCGCAAAAGTCGATGAAGATCACATGTCTCACCATCGGATCTCGAGGTGATGTGCAACCATACATTGCCTTGTGCAAGGGTCTTCTTGCTGAAGGCCACAAGCCTCGGATTGCCACACATGCGGAGTTCCAAGGATGGATTGAGTCACACGGTATCGAGTTCGCCCGAGTTGAAGGCGACCCTGGTGAGCTGATGCGTCTTTGTATCGAGAATGGAACGTTCACTTGGGCTTTCCTTCGGGAGGCAAACTCGACCTTCCGAGGATGGCTTGACGAACTTCTTGACTCTGCCTACACAGCATGTGAGGGTTCTGAACTTCTGATTGAGTCTCCTTCTGCCATGGCTGGCATTCACATCGCGGAGAAGCTTGGTATTCCCTATTTCCGAGCGTTCACTATGCCCTGGACTAGGACACGAGCATATCCTCACGCTTTTATTATGCCTGAGCACAAGATGGGAGGTGCATATAACTATATGACATATGTCATGTTTGACAACATCTTTTGGAAGGCTACAGCTTTCCAGGTGAATCGATGGAGAAGAAAGACGCTTGGCTTGCCCAGCACCAACCTTGAGAAGATGCAGCCTAATAAGGTGCCCTTCCTGTACAACTTCAGTCCTAGCGTGGTTGCACCTCCTCTGGACTTTTCGGATTGGATTAGAGTAACTGGCTACTGGTTCCTCAATGAGGGAGGTGACTGGGAGCCGCCTCAGGAGCTGCAGGACTTTATCGCCAAAGCCAGGGCGGATGGAAAGAAGTTGGTCTACGTCGGTTTTGGCTCTATCATCGTCAAGGACCCTGCCAAGATGACACAAGAGGTCATCGACGCTGTTCTCAAGGCAGATGTTCGGTGCATTCTGTCGAAGGGCTGGTCAGACCGTATCTCACCGAAAGACGACCCGTCCAAGCCTCGCCCCGAAGAGCCAGAGATGCCTCCAGAGATCCATGTGATCAAGTCCGCACCACACGATTGGCTCTTCAGTCAGATTGATGCTGCTGCGCATCACGGTGGTTCTGGAACAACAGGCGCCAGTCTGCGTGCCGGTATTCCTACCATCATTCGTCCATTCTTTGGCGACCAGTTCTTCTTTGCTACGCGAGTTGAGGATCTTGGTGTTGGAGTCTGGGTGAAGAAATGGGGTACCAACAGCTTCGGTCGAGCCCTCTGGGAAGTGACGCGTAACGAGCGCATGATTGTAAAGGCTCGTGTCCTTGGCGAGCAGATCCGCAGTGTAAGTCCCCCTCGACTCTCAGTTCCACAAGTCACTAACATCCACAGGAATCGGGTGTCGATAGCGCCATCCAGTGCATCTACCGCGATCTCGAATACGCCAAGAGTCTCATCAAGCGCAACGCCGGTAAGGCCGCACAACACGACGCAAATGAAGACGACGACACAGAAGAGAGCTGGACATTTGTCGGAAGAGACGAGCCAGATCCCGACGCCGTGACGAAGAAGCTGAGTGAGGGTTTAGTAGACACTGAGAAGCCGCTGTCTTTGGGAAGTCAGGCGCCTTCAACTGCTGCGGCATGATGTACTTGTCGCTACGAACTGTTATGTGTGGGGGTTTTCTTTGGTGATTTTATCTGGTTGCGTGCTTGTTCTCCTGCATTTAGGTGATGGCTTAATTCTGGTCTTTTGGATGACTTGGAGTCTGGATGGATGGCTTGTAGATAGACGTATGATCTAGATGTCATAGACTACGTATGAAGATAACACTACTTCGTCTTGGAAACTGACAAGCGAGGTTTGATGCTCTGACTTCGATGATGAGACTGACAATTGGTACCTACATAATAACTTATTCCAATGCAGTTCGATGCCTTGATAGCGAGCCTCATCGCCCACATGGAGCTTTCGCTGAGTTTATCCCACCATTTATCCACTATTTGCTCATGCGCTCGTACCTTTTTTTATTGAGTCAAGTACATCATGTGGGTTGTTTAGTCTTGATTGTAAGGAAAGTTAAAAGCTGTGTGACTTTGGCGAATAACTCAGAAGCCTCTATGAACTCTCCGAACTCTTCATTGACAAGTTGTCACGTCACTCCAGCTTAATCGGGACCATGAATCTCATAAATCGCCATAATAGAGTTATAAATGGTTCACGGTAGAAAAGATAATGAGAAAGCTACATCACACAACGGCTTATGGAGCATCTTGTGCACGACTGCAAGCATACACTCAATTTTCACTCTTATTCTGATGGACTATTGCCAAAGTTACTTTTCGTATTCACAATGTTACTTTTCGTATTCACAAAGTTACTTTTACTGTGAGCAGTGTATGAATCCTCATCTCTCCCAAGTCCCTCTACTTTTACTTCTACTTCTCGTTCACTTTAGCCTCTATTAACCACATCCTCTCAACACGAACTTTCCCGCACATATAAAACAAAATGACTCGCTGGAATTCACTCCCTCAAGAGATTCGCGGCATGATCTTGGGGTACGTCGTCATTCACGATCGCATCGCGCCCTATGCTCCTGTCTCGATAGAATGGCACGACGCCATTGAGAAGACCTTTCGGCACCTTCGTATTCAAGCTTCATCTTCGGACGCTTGTGGTAGGACCCCAACGGTATTTGAGAGTCTTAGCCGGCTGTGTGGTCGACACAGGCGACTCGTCAAACACATCTGGCTCAACATTGAGCATACCAAGCATCCTAAATGGTGGGACGGTAGCTATAACCTTAGCTCGGAGGATCGGGCTATCAGCGTTACTGTGAAACGGTTATTCCAGGCCTTGGAATCCTAGCCGTCACAGAACGACTTGACGCTAGAGGTCAATGTGTATGAGCCTATGTACTACTTGGAGGAGTGGCTCAAGGGGCATCACTATGGGGGTCCAGGGGAACAAGACGAAGATATGTGTCTTTTATCGACTTCTGAACCCAGGGACCTCGCAACCCCTCCCCGCAAGGCACTATAGTGCTTGTTTAATAGGTTGGACTTTGACATGCCATCTGCTCCCTCTGTCCAAGCCGTTACCAAGTTTCTTCTTCCTCGACATTGCAGGCGTCAATTTTCAGCAGAAACTCTGTCTTGCATGTCCAGACGACTTCCCCGGTTGGAAGAGATTTCCCTTGAGACTTGGGATCTCTCGGATATTCATTATGGATTCTCTCATGGTTACAGTAAGTCTTTGACTCCAAGTTACGTTGCAGTTTCAAGTACTGACATGTTCGCAGGATATGCACAACACCTGCTTGCAGCACCTGGTTCTTTTAGGAACGTCAAATCGATGACCGTTTTCCAAGATCGCAACGAGTACTTCAACGCGGTATCTCGCCTCCACAGAGAGGAGCTTCCACGCAGTCATCAAGCAACCGTAATGACTCCGCCAGTCATACCGTCGAGGTAACCAGTCCTTCCTTGAGAAGTCGCGACAGCAAGTCTCTCCCTTAAGCACCTCTCCGTTTCTTTTATGATTGGCGCCGTCGACTTCTTCGACCAATGTTGAGAAAAGTGGCAATGGTGCGAGTTGCGTTCACTTACACTGACGTCCCAACTTCTCACCTGTAATGGCGACTCTTTCAAGATCAGCGGACTATTACAAACTGCTGCGCAAATAGCCACGCGCATGCCAAAGTTAGAGAGGCTTAGAATATGGAACGGTGGAGTCAATGAAGAATGCGCCTTCACATATCGCAAGCATCAACACAATGCTTCGGTAACATGGCAGGCAAAGGGGGGTATACAGCTGCACCCCGAAGTGTACAGTGCTTGGGGAAACGTGCATTCTCGATACTTTCTCAATGTCGAGAATAAGGGTACTTGGCCTATTATTATGTCTCACGCCGCTGCCATCTCGTGTTTGGGGTTGGAGCATGTGGTGAGCGATGTGTCGCTGAGACAGATGCAACTGGAGAATAGTATTCCTTATTAGTAGGTTGGGGTTATTTGAAGGGTCTGCATTGCGAAGATAGAGGCATTTACAAATATCTCAGCTTATTATATGTCAACAGCACGTGAGGAGGATTGTCATCCTTGTCGTCTCCAAGTGAAGTTACTCGCATACAAGAAGCAAGCTTAATTCCCCACGGGAAAGCCACCGAGCTGTTTGTCTCATCCCACTTGACTCGCTCGCTAAGAAGAAAAGTATGAGATCTTCCCTGGCTGCACTCAGGCTAACGCGACAGTAACACTCATCACTGCATCTCGGGTCGATGGCAACCGAGAGAAAGTCAGGTGAGGTCCAGGCAGCCAAACAATACATCCACTATACCGTCAAGCAAAGGATTATGGGGATAACTTGGGAACTGCCTGCAAAAAGCGGCTAAATGGAAGTTGAGAATGGCGATTCGAGTATACAAGTCAATTGACAGACTTGGTAACGATGTGCATCGTCTGCTGCATCATCTTTGTGCTCTGATCACCTTCTTCTCTAGTAAAACTCTTCCTTCAATAATTCAATGTCTTATGGCCAAATCATTGAAACAGCCCTTCTTCGGTCTCAGAGGAGGATGGCTTACATTCTGGATAACAGTTCGTCACGCAACGCAACCCCTCACTTACACCTTCCAACCATCCCAGGTTGCATGCGCAACTGACATGACACTCTTTGGCTACTACCAAGGAGTCTTCAGTCAGTTCACCCTTGGCCTCCATTAAACTCAACCTCTGGCACTCTCAGGTGGTGTTGTCGTAACTCAAGACTTTCTCAAGCTTCACAACCTTGTCGGTCCAACAAAGACGAACGTCCTTGCTACTGTAACTGCAATCTATGACATCGGTTGCTTTGTTGGCGCTGTCATTGCGCTCACTATTGGCGAAAAGCTCGGAAGGAAGAAGGTCATTATTGTTGGTACAGTGATCATGTCGATCGGCACCATTATAAAGGTTACATCTTATAGTCTTCCGCAGATGATCGTCGGGAGGGTAGTTCTTGGGTGAGTGGCCCTCCATTTGGGCGTAACATGGACTGACTAGGTATATAATAGGGAATGGTATAAACACCGCTACAGCACCGATATGGCAGACTGAGACAGCATAAGCCAAATGGCGAGGTAAGCTTGTCATTCTTGAAATGGCGATGAGCATTGCTGGTTTCTGCCTCGTCAACTGGGTCAACTACGGTTTATCCTTCGTTGAAGGCTCTGTCGCATGGAGGTTCCCCCTGGCCTCTCAGTTTGTGTTCATCTTTGTGCTTTTCGCCACTGTGCCATGGCTTCCAGAGTCTCCTCGGTACTGGTATACACCTGACTCTTGAGACAACGGCTAACAATGAACAGCTGGCTCATCTCTCACGGCCGCACACAAGAAGCAACAGAGATCCTCGCCTGTATCGAAGACAAACCAACGACATCCCCAGTCGTAACATCTCAACTTCACGAGATCCAGTATAGCGTTGACTATGAACTTCAACACGCTGTGAAGTGGAAGGATATTCTCCTCCGTCGCAACAAAGACACGGCCGATACCAAGGCTCTTCGGCGTTTGTTGCTCGGTGCAAACACCCAACTCATGCAACAATTCGGCGGGATTAATATCATGAGTTACTACATGCCCACCGTTCTCATCAACAGCGTTGGTCTATCAGAGAGTATGGCCCGTTTGCTCTCCGCTTGCAACGGAGTGTCTTACCTAATCTTCTCATCGATCGCAATTCTTCTTGTTGAGAGATGGGGACGGAGAGGACTTGTGCTACTCTCCACGTCTGGTCAACTATTGTCGTTCTTGGTCATTACTATACGCGGTTGGTGATATGAAGGAACCGTTGGGATCGGCTTCTGTGGCGTTCTTCTTCTTTTACTTCATTTCTTTTGGGTTCGGGATGTTAGGTGTGCCGTGGTTGTATCCAGTGAGTTCTCTTCCCATGAGGACGAAGGGAGCAGCGCTTGCTACTGGGACAAATTGGTACTTATCGGGCTTTGTATTGGTGTTTGAGTATAGGACTAACAGGCAGCAGGATCACAAACTTCATCGTCGTGGAAATTACTCCTATCGGCATCCAGAATCTTGGCTGGCGCTTCTGGATTGTATGGACTGTTACGAATGCCTTGTTCCTGCCAGTTATTTACTTTCTATACCCTGAAACATGCAAGTTCAGCGCTTCAAGTAACATGAGCAAAGCTTACCTATTCCCAGCGAACAGAAAACTTGAGGATATGGATGACTACTTCCGAGAAAACCCCTCCGTGATGGTCATCAGAGATAACGATGCGATCGCTACCAAGAGACCTGAGAAGTACATTCAACGGGAGCAGGAGGACATCCAGAGGGAAGAGGCTAAGGACGGAAGTCCGGTTGTAGGAGTTGGTCATGAGGAGAAGGGTCTCAGGGAGCAAGGAAACTTCTGAGTCTAAGGGCCACTAAGCTTGCCTAAATCTTATTGTTATTTAGGATAGGCGTGTTGAGTTTCCTCAACGCCCCAAGAAGGGGCTGCAGTGAAGGTTGTTCCAACAGTAGGGGCATTACAAGATCACGGATGCGAGGAGTTCAGAAACGCCAAATATATTTCAAGAGCTGAAGTAGGCTATGCAAATTCTACTCTTGAGCTTCTTGGTGTGTGAATAGACATGAAACACAGTGAACTATTGATGCGCCTCGTCGATCCATGTTCATCCGCAGCCAGTTCTTAATCGTAAACCCCTCTTCATGATTCGTCGTCAGATAGACTCTTCATCATCAGCGTCTTCGTCTTCTCTCTGCATATCCTCACCGATGGCGATCTCAGTCTCTTCATCACTTTCATCCTCTTCCTCCTCAATATCCCATTCCATCGCCTTCTCCCCGTACATATCCATGTAACTCTGTGCCGTGATGGGCAGCACTGCATCTCCATTGTCAAACCTCCTCAACTTCAACTTTGCCGCTTTGAACCACCATCTCTCCAAGAACTCGTCCTCCAACTCCACAAAATGCGGATTTCGCTTCACCATACGAACCTTTCCGTGCTTCTCCCCGCCTGGGCCATTCCTTATCTGTGGCTTGTACAGCAATTCATCAAAGATAGGACAGTCAAACCAGGGCGAACTGAGAAGCACATCGCGCCAAAGACCATCTTCGTGGGCTTGCTGTGTCTCCTTAAGATGCGGGGAGTGCATGATCTCGCGCTACCAGGCCAGCATACCGTGCATGTCGTGGAATTCCCAGAGTCGTGCGTTGGGAGCGTGGATATCTTTGTAGCGACGGTTTGAGCGGTCAAGAGCAGTCCAGAAGAAGAATTGGATGTGTTCGTCCTTGTATTCCCGGATGTTGGGGCTGCTGCTGAGGCTCATGAAGATGCGTACTCTGCTGGAGGCCGCGAGAAGCCAGTCTTCGTCTAGATCTGATGTTGATGGAATGATAGGGCTTTTGTTATTTGGATAGGGGAAAAGATCTAAAATCGGGGTATGGCTTTTGTGCCACATCGCTTCGATGTTGCCTGGAGGGTCTGGCCTGTAGCCTTCAGGGATGTCATCCTCCATCATGAGGTCTCTGTTTAGGAATTTACCAAGTTCTTGACATGCCAGAATGAAGGAGATCTTTATAGTCGCAATCTCTGCAAGTCTACTCTGTGAAGCAAACGCCTTCGTTGGCAAACGCTATGAAGCAGCATTGATGATCAACAAATCGCACATTAATCATCGTACAACAAACAGTAAAGAGTTAAAAGAGCATCCTCAAACGCAAATTAATCGAAGCGAATGTTTTCATCAAACACGAGCCCATAACGGAGAGTGATTCCATCGCATAAGGATAAAGCCGTCACTGTAAGCCAGCTGGTCAAGACGCGGCAGTGAAAGGATGAAAATAAATAAACATGATTCCTCGAGATGCAAACATGTTTACATATATTGTTGCTATGAATGACCCAAGTACAAAGACATAAAGCCAAAGCAAACAACCTCAATTGTTTCAAGGTAATGGCGATACCTTCACTTGCTAATCCCTACAAATCTACTGGCCAATCCGCTTATGTAACCCACTTTCACATCCCAGCACCCAAAGCTCCCCAGTCACCTTACGTAATCGGTCAAGTCTGTCAACCGGAATTGACTGGCAGCTCAATTCAATCAATCACCTCACAAACCGAAGACCGCCCAACGCGACAGCAATCGACGAGCCCGCCCGCACGAGGGACGATACGACAGTAGCGACATTCGAGACCAGCGAGCGACATTCATATTTGCCCAGCATGCCTCAGGATATGCCCCCTCGGGGCGGGTATGAGCCCGTCCAGTACAAGGTGCGTTGGAGGTTTACGGGAGTGCAAATGGGACGATGTGCTGTTTGAGGATGTCTGGGGGATCAATTGGTTTTATAAGAGTTTGATAAATGGGTTGAGGGGTGTCACGATCGATTGCGAGGGCTGGGAAGACATGGAGCAGTTGCAGGCAGTTGAAATGAACGTTTATCTGACTTTCTACAGCGAAACCTCCCCGCGAAGGGTTTCCGTCCTGGTATCCTCCTCCTCGGAATGGGCGCTGTTATGGGCTATGGCTGGTATAAGCTGATCGGCGGCATGCGCGAGGCCAAGTACGTTATTTCTCCCTCTAGCCGAACATGCATCTACAACAAAAAACGCCGACAATCTACAAACACCCCACGACCACGATTGCTTACACAGAAAACAACAATATCGAGTCCAATACTAACAGCTACCAGCGAACTCGGCCGTGAAAAGATGTGGGCTCGCATCAACCTCATTCCCCTTCTCCAAGCCGAAGAGGACCGCGATCAAGTCCGTCGATACCTGGCCGACCAGAAGCGCGAGAAGGAGTTGCTTGGTGACAATGCCAAGGTTTACAACAGCGACCGGTTAGTTCTCTCATCAAGAGGTAGCGTTGATGGGGAATACGCTAACACAGGGCAGATTCGTGAGGCCGACTTTCGCTGTTACACCCCCTCCTACTACAAACTAAACTGTGGAAAGACGCAAGCTTGTATATATGTTTTAACAAAGTGGTTTTACCTGGAATTGAAAAGCTACAAGGAAGACACTGGCTACCCCGACTGTGACTGCTTCACACTCTCGATCTTCTCTTCTGTCCACTCCCACAGCTTCTTTCCCAATTCCTCACTAAAACACATATCATCCCCCTTGTTTGCCTTTCCAACTGGTTCATAAAACGCCACTGTCTCATCCCTCTTGACGTCTCCTGCAGCAGCCCAAGCAGTGTTGTATCCACCCTGTTCAACCGTCATCATAGATGGGTTGGTAACATACACAAACATTCTCTTCCAGAATCCCAAGCCTGTGACCAGATTCGTAGCGATAACACCAGGATGGACAACAACGCTCTTGATAGCAGGGTATCGTCGTTCCAATTCCTTGGCCAAGACGATGTTGGCGAGTTTGCTCTGTCCGTAACGACTCCATGTCCCAAAGGGTAAGTGTTCTTGGAGTGAATGGAGCGTCTCAAACTCGATGCCCTTCTTTGGATGGCCTGCGTATCCGAGTGAAGTAACACTTACAAACCGAACCTCACCCCCCTTTTCCGCGGTCTTCTGCATGATTGGTAAAAGAGCCATCAAAAGCGTCGCATTGCCAACATGGTTAACGCCAAACTGCAACTCAAGTCCATCTTGAGTAAGCCCATCAACAGCCATGACTCCCGCATTTGCGATGAAGACATCCAACCGATCATGCGTGAACTGCTTCGCTACGGAGCGCATGCTTGCGATGGATGTGAGATCACATTCGAGGAATGTTGCAGGAACGGGAGAGATGGTAGATATGAGAGATGATGCGGAGGTCGAGGAGCGGCCGGTGAAGTAGATGTGAGATGGAATGTGAGAGGCAAGAGTGATGATGGCAGAGCGGCCTAGACCGGAAGTTCCTGGTGTTTTGTTAGTAGGGGGTTGAGAAGAAGGATAAGGGAGACGGACCGCCAGTGATGAGGATGACTTTTCCGGTAAGAGAGGGAATGTCGGTTTCCGGATTGAAGCCTTTGAAGGGTGCCATGATTACGATGGATCGTGATTTCAGGATCAAGACAAAGAACAGCGTTGTAGACAAAGGAGTTGTGTTGATTCAAGTGCTTGTACGAAGGTAACAAAAGTTGCTGCCATCCTCAATCAAGGAACGACTCGTCCTTCTTATACACATTTCCTTTTCCCATCATCATTCCTCCGTGTGTAATCCTAATTACAAAGCGACACACTAAACGTCATGACTTTGTTGTCCGGCAAGTGTCTTTCTAAGTGAAGCGGCATGATAGATCCCCGATGTGAGACGGGTTTCTACAGTAGCTCTCACTAACCCGTTCAGGCTCAGATCACACCAGATATTGTTAGTACGGGATAGTTAACCATCCCCGTCTCTAGGTAAAAAATCGGCGACAAAATCTCCGGCGGAGCGTAATCGATTTCCAAGCCTCATCCGATCAAAGGGATAAAGCGAATGACACACAATGGCTCTCACGTTTCACAAGGCCACTCATCAAATTGGATTAGACACAATAACGTGCTTGTAAGACTTGATTGCCCTTGCCTCGGGGTATTACACAGCATAATTACCAGTACAAATCTCAAACCAACCAACTCCCCTCCGTCATGCACACGCTTCTATCTCCATTTTACTGATGTAAATGTAGGGTAAAAAACATCCTATTCCATATCGCGCCTGACTCCATCCCCGAGGTTTCAAGTCTTCAGTTCGCCAGTAATGCATCTCATATCAGTCCGCCATCAACTCTGCTAGCAACTCTCTCTCCAGCTCGTCCTCATCAAAATCCGCGCCATCGTCAACATTCACCAGAGGCTCTTTGTCCCTATCCTCCACGGCTTCGTCGCCTGTTGGTACTGGTGTAGGTAGACTTCCGTCTTCTGTATCTTGGTCGTCGCCGTTGGGTGTTTGTATTGATCGGAGACCGGAAGCGCCCCTATTCCGAGCCAGACGTTGCTTCTTGGCCAGGACACTTTCGCCTAGATTTGAGCCGTCGTCGTCTGACTCATCGGCATCAGCCTTACGTTTAATGCCCTTCGAGGTCTGACCGTCCACGGATTCGACGTCTGATTCTGTGACTGTGGGGGCAATGCTCACGTCGCCATCGTCGCCAACATCATCATCCAGGAACTCGGCCAGTTCATCTTCAGCTTCTCCCCAATCAAAGTCCCTAAGCTCTTGCCCCGTCTGCGCATCTTCAGCTTCGTCGGCTTCCGATGTAACTTCGGTTGTATCATCCCCTCCCTTCTCCCTATCAGCGTCGAGAATCTCTAAAAAATAAGGTCGCTCGTCGAGTCGTCTCCATTGACTTAGGCAGTCGGTGAGCCAGTTTTGGTTGACAATTTTAATGCTGGGGATTTTTGCTGCCTGCTGCACCTTCTTGGTACGAGGGCGTGATGAGGCAACGACAAGATGTGTGACTCGTTTCGATACTGTATCCAGGACCTGAGCGCCATAACTCTGAGCTTGCATACCGATCTCTGACTCTTCTACTCTCACGCCCAGGGGCACAAGACCTGATAGCACAATCACAAGACCAGACAAGACATTGGACTTGAGTTCGTCAAGAATATCGCCGACATCCGGTACCATGGACAAGTCGACGCCATCGTCAACAGATGCCCTTCGCTTAGACTTGCTATGCGCAGGTGGGTGTGTTCCCTCTTTCTCTCTTCTTTCCGCGCGTCGCCGGTCGTATGTCTCATAAAAGGCTGTGTGCAAGTCTGTAAGATGGTCTTGGAGCGCGATAAGCTCCTCATCGTCGTCAACAAGAACGTTTCGGTGGTGGACATGTGGTGATTCGCTAGCATTCTCGCCAACATTCGTCTCTTGCTGATCGTCTTCCTTGTCGAGCTCTTCCTGCATATGAAGCAAAGGCCGGTCCTTGATTTGCTTCTCGAGTGTCTTTTCCTGTTCTTCTTCCTGAACCTTTAGACTGGCTGCATCGTCTCCGCCGCTCATTCTAGCAATCTCATCCATTGGTGAAGCTTTTGGTGCTATTTTCACGCCCTTTTCCACCAGCTTCGACTTGAGTATAGGTAGAATGTCTGTTCGCTTAGGGAGGAAACTCGAGTTGATATCGCCAATACCCTTGAAGAAATCGTAGGGCACCACCTTGATAAGGTTCGGTCGGTTCATAGGCCACACGTCGGCTCGGTCGTCAATAATAACTACCATGTCTGTGCTGACGGGGAACAGACGTTGTAAGCTCTTGGCAGTGATGCTACCATTCTCATCACGACTGATGACCCGGTTTCCAAAGAGCTTCTGGTCGGGATCGACGATCTTGGCGATGTTAAGGGCGTAGGCGCGTGTGCCCATGGTGTAAACATGCAACTCGTACATCTTGGAGACCTCGTCCAAGAATTCCATCAATCCAGGTCGAAGCTTGATATAGTATGTACAGCCGCTGGTCAATCCGCGAGGACCGTCGTCATTGAGCTGGAAGTCCCTAACATCCTTCACAGCTTCGTAATTAGGATTCGTCGGGTCGTTCTTCCACTCTCCGATCGTGGGTTCTATACAAGCATGAATAATAGTTTGATCAAGATCGACAACGAGACTCAGCTTCCGTTGTCTGAGTAGGCGCTTCTGGTTCTCGTGCTCGGCCTTTGTAGCGACGCTTTCGCTGACTCTCAAAACAGTCTGGTCATGGCTCATGTTGATCATGGCGCGATCTGTGTCGAGGTTATCACTCGCCCAGTTGATCTCAGTCATGTCAGCGCCGCACAAACTGCAAAGGCCTTGCACCTGAACTTCATGACCGCACGCTTCTTCAACCATCAGACAGGGCGAGTCAGCCGCGATCTCCTGGCCTTCGCGGATGCGCCATTGCTTGAGTTTGCCTTCAGCGGGGCTATCGAACTCGGTATATGTGGTTTCATCGTTCCAAGTCTCCTCGTTGACCTTGCGCTTCCAGTGGAACTTGTACTCAAAAATGCTTTCTTGTTTCTTGATCGTATCACCAGGTTTCTTGAGTAGTTTTGTAACGATGATGGGGTAATGTAGGCGCGAGCCTAGTGGGACGATCTTGTCGTGCATTATGTGTATCGTTGGTAGGTAAAATGTTTGTAAGGGTTCTCGTGATGATATCGGTAGCCTCTAGTGACGAAGATTAGCTCGCATTCGTCGGAACTTGCCATACAAAGCTTGGTGAAAGGCTGAGTGTGGATCAAGTGGCTAGTGATTCCTAATGACAAAGAAACATACCTAGCGAGCTCCCCTTTCTTTAATCCTTCGCGGCGCAGGCGCACCAGTCAAGCCCATGGCCTCACCAGCAGATCGTCGCGAAAGTGAATCAGCGCGCCGCAGTGGCACGTGCAAATCGCAGTCCGAATCGCGTTGGCTCCTCCCAATGCGCAATTCTTCGTAGGCTTAAACAGCGTAAATAATCGTACTGGAAGAATTAAGTCGTGTTGATAACTGTAATCGTTTCGCTGGTGTTTTTTTGTCCTTGATGCTACGAAAGAAAGCTCGTACAAGGTGACGCACTAGGTTGGCACAGCTTGTAGCGCGGACCAGCTTCTTCCTTGTACTGCTTTCAATGAGCGCGATCACGTGGCTGGGTAGATGAGCAACCCGGGCACTGAGAAACTCGGAGGCGCTGGAACGTTATCGCGGCGCGTACCGTAATGTAAATTGGTGGCGCAGTTGATTCTCCGCGATCGCGATCGTAGGAGTTGGTCCAAGCTCTGGGGTAGCAAATGCGACGTGATGTTGGACAAGACAGCAGAAGCGTTTTTGTTTCACTATCCTTATCTTATCGACAAGAATAAGAAACAGAAACAAAGAGCAAGTGAAGTCTAATGTCGGAATAGAAATGTGGAGTAACACGAGAGGCGGGGAGCGATAAGATGTCAGAATTGGATGTCAAGACTGTTGTTGTAGAGTTACTGATATAAGTTATATGTTAGCAACATCCATCAGCAGGGTCATAGAGAGAGCTTACCACAAATGAACCAATCAGGTAAGGAATAGATCACCAAGTTTCGTCCTATGATGGGCTCGATACAGTACAACTGCCGCTCAGAGAAACAAAGGTGGGAAGACCCGCCCTTTTTGTACCTGGAGCTGGAGGGTGCTGACCCCCCGTCACATCATTCAATCATCAACGCAGCAAGCTCAAGTTATACTTTACAGCTCGAATCCCGAAGAAAAAGGGGTAAGCACAAAAAATTCAATTAAGCTGCTGCATCCACTCGAGTCAAAGCAATCACATTATCTCTTTGTCAAGTCTCTCAACTGTTTTGATCCTTTCTTACTTGATCACGGATGCCATGGCCGAGGCTATCACTTGGACAGCTTGTGTGGGGCTTGACCTTAGCTTGTCTCGCGACGCAGAAGTGGTCTCAGTTGGTGGCGTGTCAGTGACTACCCTAGATCAATTCGGGATGCGAAAATTCATCACCAGTTGAGCTCAGAATGGAACAATTGAGTCACATGCGCATTGTGTACGTATACCAGGTCAATTTTGTCGGCGTGTTTATATCTGCAGTATTGCAAACTACCAGGGGTGTTGCCTTTGAGCGTTGTCGAGCCTGTGACAATCATCGTGAAACGCAACAAGCATCATACAACCCACGCAAAACGGACACCACTTCAGCAACTCTTTCAACAAACACCAAATGCGGTAAAAGTGGAGGTAACATAAACTTTAATACCAAAATTCTTCATTAACAGTGGTATCTATTGCGAAAACTTAAATCAACGGATCTCCACCCAACCTGGCCATCTATATGTTCATCATTATATCCCATTTCGTATCACTCATAGCATCATTGCAGCCACTCTCAACCTAAGTATCCAACACCCTTAAGCAGAGGATTGAACAACTCTGTAGCCTTCAGACACCAACTTTGTAATCTCTTCATTCTTATGCTGCAAAATGCCCAACGCATATGCAACATCGTTCCATTGTCGCTCAGTCTCACAACGGTTGAGTCGTGCAGCAAGCTTCTCGGCCAGCTGTTTGGCGTGTTTGTCCTGGTTAATGCGTTAGTTATTACTTGTCCAACCATAAGTGCATCACATACCTTTTCAACAAAGCCAAGAAGGAACTTGACAATCCTGCGGAAACTCTCCTCTTCCATATTGCCGCCAGCGCTGAGCAGACTGAACATGTCGACAAAGTGGTTGTACACAGCATTGTCCTTGGTGCTGAGCTCGGTGAAGAACATTCTCGCCAGATCAGCGATCCTGCGATCTTCATCCTCCAAACATTTGGCCATCTCGCCTAGCTGACCCTTGACCTTGACCTGTCCGGCCAGAATAAGGAAGGTCAGAGTCATGAGACATGTTCGCTTGACGGACGCATCGTCATCAGCCAGTCGACGATAAAGGAAGTCGGTGTTCTCATCAATGAGATGGTTGAAGCAGACAGCCATGTCACCCAGCGCGATAACAGCATTGCTTCGGACAGTTGCGTTGGGTGAACGCTCCATGATAGTGATAAGTAGTGGCAAGTTTGCTTCGCAGTACTCGGCAGACACGCACATAAGTTTAGCGAGACAGAGCGTCGCAGCGGCTTGGAGTCCCTTATCCGCGTACGTTGTGTTGTTGGCGCAGATTTCTGATACCAGCGGGCCAAAGACAGCTAGTAGAGAGTTGGGTCCGTACAAAAGCTCTCGCTCACGAATGTGTGCCATGGCTTCTGTAAAATCATCCTCTGTTGTACCTCCGATCAGATCAAGCTCATCCGCATCTTCCTTATCCTTATCGTTCTTAGCGGGCGCTGCCTTCTCCTTCTCCTGCTTTCTGCGCTTGAAGTCGAGTTCACACAGCTCAAGATGAACAATCTGCTTGATGGCAACGTGACCGACGATAAATAGAAGCTGAGACAGAGCGATAGCATTGTCGCGTTTCTTCTTCTCACCCTGGGTCACAGTCTGGTCGGCTGTTGGCGCAACCTTTGTCTCATCTCGCGATGTAGGGCGCGAGCTGGGTTGCGAAGATGGCGGGGTACGGGACTGTCCAAACACCTGTCGAGCTTTTCGTCGGATTAGGTCTGAGCAGAGGGTGTCGGGATGCTTAGAAATAGCATAGATGGCGTTGATGGCCTGCTCTGCTACTCCATACCACTCTTTGCTGTCTGAGGGAACCTCGGTGATGGCAGCCAATCTGACTGACACAGCGTGGTCGTTGGGCAATCGTGAGAACTTGACAGGAGAGTCCTTAGACTGGCGTCCAGACGGGTTGATTCGCCTCAAAGCAATGCATGTAAACTTGGCCAACTGAAGATCATTGCGTCCATGCAGACCAAGACCAGTTCGAAGCATGGTCTCCATCTCACCAACCACAATCTCGGGGTTTGCAGTTGCCAGCATCCCCAAAACAATGATAGCACCTCGGCGCTGAGTTCGGGAGATCTCCCGTTTCTGAACACCATACACTTGCCAAAGCTTGCTTATAACAACCTCGGGGATCATGCCACCCTTCATCATTGTCGCCAAGAGCTGCTCAAGCGACGTGAGCTCAGCGGGTGTCGCGCCAAAGGTCAAACTGATCATGTTTCGCGCAATGTAAATAGCAGAATCATTGGGACTGAACGAGTCAGGTGCCTCGAAGAAGAGTCGCCTGTAGCACTCGATCAAGTGTGTCTGGACACCCTTTCCTTCATCGCTATTGCCCTTGGTCCAGATGAGTCGAAGCATACGCCGAATACCGACCTTGTTCTGCTCAATGTTGTAGGCGTCACCGACCTCAAAGAAGTCCATGGCCTCAATAACCTCGCTCTTGTTCCTTGACCCGAGGAGCTGGCAGATCGTGGTGGTGGCGTCGTGGATAACGTCGATAAACTTGAGAGCCTCGTTGTAGTATCTCCGGGTTAGTGTCAGCTTCTCGATAGCTTCGCTTGTAGCAGCTTCTTCCTGTGCCTTCTTGATGGCAGCCGCCTTCTCCTCCTCAGTCATCTGGGTAGGCTTCTGAGGAGAGCCAAGTTGTGTCGCCTCATCGAGAAGCTCATTGTCAACAGTCGTGTTCGCCTGGTCGCCTCCAAAGCCAGGGACACCAGGGGGAGGCTTGAGAGAATCCAACTCCTCCTGGACCATGTCTAAACGAGCCTGCCACTCCTTTCTCGACAGCTGCGCACCGTGCATGACCGTGAAAGGATGTGTCTTGATAAGCGTGCCTAGAAGCTTGATGGCGTTACGTCGGACATTGCTGCTCTTGTCTTCCAAACTTCTACATGCAAGTTCCGCGGCTTTCTGTCGTCGCTTGGGGAACTTCTGCGCAAGATCGCAAAGCCGCATGTACACTTGCAGAGTTCTGCACCGGCAGTAGGGGTTGATGTCGAGGAATCGCTCTTCCAACACGTCGAAAAAGGCGTTCAGCTGGGACTTGTGGTTCTCGCTGCGCTCATCTTGCTTGCTGAGGTAGCCAACCATGTTTCCACAGACCTCGATAAGAGCACATCGAAGAGTATATGACTGCTCTGGTTAGCTAACGGCCTATGACATATACCTGGAAACCTACCTCGCTGTCCAATTGCTTCGCAAGCATTGTCATCTGCTTGATCACCAATCGTGGCGCCAACTCAGAAAGCTTGGCAATAAAGGAAGAAACAGACTTAGGTCCTCTAGTATCGTTGGAGTTGAATTCTTTGTTACTGATTTCGCGTAATACCTCGTCAGCGAGCTGAGGATAGTCGTAAGTTTCTGCTAGGATGTGTAAGAACTCGGCCATGGGTTCCGACAAGTGCTCGAAGTATGTCAAGTTCTGGATGATGTTGATTTGCGCCGCTTTCAATTGTCAGCACTTCACTTGATCTGGGCACTTCGAAATGCTTACCATATCCATGCCCGTGATGCTTCACAGCAATGCAAAGGACCTTGAAGCAGTGCATTCGGATGGTCGTTGTCTTGACTCGTTGCTCGCTCTCCAAAACCATGTAAACTGGTCGGGTAAGGAGACCAATAAATGTATCTCTTTCGCTTGTTGTGAGAAAGATCTTGGAGAGCTTGAGCTTAAGAACCTTGCACATAACTTCCAAAGCCCCTTGAAGCTGTGTAGCCGAATCCCAAGCCGCATCCTTATCCTTTGCAGCCCCCTTCTTTCCCTTTCCGCGTCCTCTAGCAGCAGGTGCCGTTGACGACTTCTCAGCGGCCTTGGTCTCAACAGCAGCGATCGTCCATTGCAGAAGGAAACCGTATATCTCGAGTAGTTTCTTGTGGTGGGGTACCGAGTCCTGCTCGTCGGGGGAGTCGATATCGGAGTGGACAGAGTCGGCCTCTGCACTCAAGCCGCTCATAACAAGGTCGAAGATCTTGCTTAGGGCGTGGGTGGGAAGATGTGCTGTGTATCTGGGATTTTCTAGCTCAGAATGTTGTCCCACAGTCGGAGTATCAGGTGAATGATGGAGGGATATGGGGGCTAACTTGAGGAGAAACTGCAACGAGTCCATGTGGGAGGCGCGCATGATGGCATCTGGATTATCGGCGACTGCGTCGACGATAGGGTTCAGGACAGAGTTAACGACAGGGAGTGTAAGGGCTTCGGGATCATTTTCGCAGTCGAAAAGAGCCCCGTCAGCTTCAGGCGTTGAAATGCTGGCTGGATCCGACATGTAGTGCTTCAAGGCATCGTTGAGGTCAAAGTCAATGGTATCCATGGCGGGCGATTCGACAGTGTCGTCGCAAGTAGCGAGCGACAGGAGAGAAAGAAATGAAGCGGTAAGAACGTTAAAACCTAATGAAAGGGTACCACAGAATAATAAACGACTAAGCGTGCCTTATGCGCCGAATGTATTGCGACCAGGTAATACCCGACCCGTTAAACCTGACCGTTTGGTGCTGTGTTGACAATGCAAGCTACGAGTCGGTGGAGGGGATTTAGATTTGGCTGAGGGGACGTGAGCCAACCCCTGGGCAACGATTGTTTTTGTTTTGTTCCACGCGACCACTCAGGACCCTTCCCCTCCATGTCCCGCTAAAAAGACAGCGCGTTGAGCCTATCAGACCCCTGCAACCATTCATTGAGGCTGGCTTTAATCTTTAAGCCCCTCCAACTTCAACTGCATTTGCAACTCGTGGATGCTCTGAAGGACCAATAACGAAGTCTTGTTCTTTTGCTTAAGTTTGTTTCTACCTGTGAGAGTTCGAAGCGGCTGAAGTGAGGTTACTTTTTACTGGATACATTTTCTGTATTACGAAGCGATCATGAGCGCCGTGGTTCATCAGCATGTCGAAGAGCACTTCGATATCCATGAGGATTTGAGGACGGAGGATACGGAGATGATGGCGGAGGAAGAGCGCACTGAAGAAGCAGCTCCAATAGATGAAGACGAACGCGTTCAGTCATTCCAGCAGGTGCATCAACAACAGCACATGCAGCAAATGCAACACCAACAACAACACGCCCATCGCCAACCGCAACAGCCCCAAGAGGAGCCCCAGGAAGAGGAAGAAGAAGAAGAGGAGGAGGAATCTGAAGACGAAGCTGTTGACCGAACCGTCCAAGCAGACATGGACAAGTTACAGAATGACTTTCCTGGTTTTCGCAATCGGTATCGGTTGATCAAGCGAATCGGTGAAGGTACATTCCCATTTCTCCCACCTGGGTCCCATTGAGATTAACAATTGTTGCCAGGAACCTTCTCTACCGTTTACAAAGCCGAGGATATCATGTACGACCACTACGACAACAGCTGGGACTATGAAGACGACTCGTCAAAATGGACACCACCGCCCAAAGCAACCGACAGTCCTGTGTCTCACCGTCCGCGTCGCAAGGCACGTTACGTCGCCATCAAGAAGATCTACGTCACCTCAAGTCCCTCGCGAATTCTCAACGAGCTTGAACTACTCCACGATCTACGTCAATGTCCCTCCATCTGTCCTCTCATCACCGCATTCCGCGAAACCGACCAGGTCGTGGCTATTCTGCCTTACTTTCGGCACGGAGACTTCCGCACGTACTTTCGCGACTTAACTATTACAGAGATCTCTGTTTACCTTAGAGAACTCTTCACCGCCCTGAAAAGTGTTCATGATCACAAGATTCTCCACCGAGACATCAAGCCTACCAATTTCCTGTACGACCCAGGTACACAGCGCGGTGTTCTTGTCGATTTTGGTCTTGCCGAGAGGGAAGGGTCTGATGCCAAGCCTTGTCTTTGCCATGAGTCCCGAGAGGTCCGAAAGCATCGCCAAACAAATTCAGTCTGGGCGCAGAATGCTGCGACTCCTCAAGCAGGATATCCTAAATCTGACACACGATCATCGCGACGTGCCAATCGTGCTGGAACCAGAGGTTTCCGTGCTCCTGAGGTTCTCTTCAAGTGCACGGAGCAGACTACATCCATTGATATCTGGTCTGCAGGCGTTATTCTTCTTACCATTCTGTCTAAACGCTTCCCATTTTTCAACTCGGCCGACGACGTTGAAGCCATGATTGAGATAGCGACTATCTTTGGCACTAAACGCATGAAAGCTGCAGGTTTACTTCATGGATGCGTCTTCGAGACCAGCATTCCCACAGTTGGTCAAGGAGGCTTCTCGATGGAGAAAATCATCATGTGGAGTACATGCAGAGGCGAGGAAAAACCTCTGACAGGAGAGGAAAAGCTGGCCATCAACTTCCTCGAATGGTGTATGGAGTTAGACCCTGGCAGGAGAATAACGGCTGCGGAAGCACTGAACCACGATTTTCTTCTCTTGGGCGAGATTGAGGCCGAGAGGCAAGAGAACGAGCAGGCAATGGCGGAGCATTGAAACAATTCTGTATCACTAATGTAATCATAGAAGCATGGAAGGGCGTTGGTTTGAGTATAATGTTACGGAAGTGGTTGGCTAGATATCTGTACATAGCCCAACATGACTGATACCCAGTGTTATGAAAGTTTCACGGGAACAAATACCATCAATGGTGCGATCACAGTGAATTAAAAAAAATTGTCATTCATAATCATGGGCGAAAATCGATTTTTATTTCGTTAACTCCTTGCAAGAGTCCCTGATGCAATGCCCGAAGCCGACCGACCTAGGTCCCTGCTTAGAGGAGACCTGTCATCCATTGCCCGTTGTTCGCGGGTTGGAGATTCTTTTTTCCTTTTGCGAAAATTCCCATACAAGCCCAACCGACTCCTAAGCAAGCACAACATTTAGAGAACAGTTGCTTGCTTAAGCGACAAGCTCGACGACACCACCGGCCTGCTTGATCTTCTGCTCAGCAAGGCGGCTGACCCAGCGGGCGCGGACGACCAGAGGGATCTCGGGGAGACGGCCCTTGCCGAGAACCTTGGAGTAGCCGAGGGGGAGGAGGTCGAGGACGGGGACGGTGTCCTTCTTCTCGCCGGAGACGTAGGCGTCACGGGTCTCCTGGGGGACGAGAGACCACAGCTTGTCGAGGTTGATGATGGGCTTCCAGAAGTGGTTGGGCTGCTTGTGGAAGTATCGCATACCAACCTTACCGAAGTAACCGGGATGGTACTGTGATCGCGTTAGCCAAAAACCTCGTCCGATTCTGCGCTTCAATCATCCTCTCTAACCTTGTCCATGTTGGTACGGTGGTGGTGCTGACCACCAGCAAGACCACGACCACCGGGGTGCTTGCGGTGCTTTCCGACACGTCCCTTACCGGCGGAAACGTGACCGCGGCTGAATTACAAGTCAGTCCATCCAAAGTTCGGTACAACATCGTTTTGATCTCGTCGGGTTCGAGAGCAGCCGCCGACAAAGGGCGATTATTGTGAGCTCCAGCGGTCTATCTCCGATTTCCCTACGGAAACCAGAAACGGACGCGGTCTCTCTCAACGACCAACCTCGTCGACGGCGAGGGGGATGAGGACATACTGCTTGCGGGTCTTTGAAGTACGGGTAGGCATGGTGACGGCTGTGGTTGTCGACTTGTCCGAATGTTCACAGTCGAAACTTCGAAATGGAGGGTGATATCCTGTAAAAGCCTAGCAACAGCCGAAAATCTAGGCGAGGGCAGAGCAACCCTAAAGAAATGGCTGTGGGAAGGTGGGACCGACTTGTGGGTTTTAGCGGGTCAGGTGATCTCGTGGATTGACCGTGGTGAGACTCGGTGAGGACCCACCAATGATGGGCTCAAGGGTAACTAATGCTCTTGAGACGCGATTGAATCGCGGCGACTCTGATACTCATTCAACTGAGGTTAGTTAATCAAGATGGCACAATCTGAAGTGGATAAAGTCACGCAAGATCTTGAAAAGATGGATTTCCACCACCCATATACACCTTATGATGTTCAAGAGCAGTTCATGAAGGCTGTTTACAATGTTTTGGAGACTGGTAATGGGCAAGTTGGCATTTTGGAGAGCCCGACTGGTACAGTGAGTCCACCTGAAGCAAAAGAGATACTGTTATCTCGTCTTGATGATATCTAGTCCCTTAAAAGGCCACCATTTGCCTTAGAGATACTAACATCGAATAGGGGAAGTCACTTTCACTGATCTGCGCCTCACTAACATGGCTTCGCAACCACAAATCGAATCAATTCGAAGCATCAATCCAAGAATCCGCAGAAGCTTACAAAGACGAACCATCATGGCTCGTTGAGCAACTTCTCCGTCGCAAGCGCGAAGAACTCGTCACTCGCTGGGAAGAGCGAGAGAAGCGTCTTGAGACCCTTCGCCTTAGGGAAAGGGCACAAGAAGAACGCGCCCGTAAGCGTCGGCGAGTAGAGGACTACGTACCCAGTAAATCGCGCGTAGAAGATGAAGATGCCGAGTGGTTGCTTGATGATCCTGATGATCGCGATGCTGGGCCTCAAGATGCCCTGTCCGGATTGAGTAAGGAGACGAGAGAAGTTCTTGCAAGCATTGGTCTGGGAGGGGCGAAGAAGCCTGAAGAGGAAGATGATCTTTTGGAGGAGGAAATCAAGGTGCGAATGTCTTTGATGAACCGTAAAGTACGAGTAGTAACATTAATAGATCTATTACACCTCAAGAACACATTCTCAACTTTCGCAGTTCATCACCGAACTTCGTCGCCCCTCATTTCCTCCTTCACTGCCAACGTCACTCGCCAAGAGCGAAGAGACGAAGACAGAAGCAGTAAAGCTTCTACCATTATCATCTCGACAGAGATTATGCATCAATCCCACTGTCTCACGCCTTGGGTCCGTACAGGCCATCAACGACCGGTGCTCAGAACTCCAACAGCCAAAGTCAGGACAGAAATGTCCCTTCGTACCCAAAGAAGATCTGCTCTCGCAGACACACCAATTCCGCGACTCGGCTTTGGCCACACTGCCGGATATTGAAGACCTTCATCAACTGGGCAAATCACTGTCTGTTTGTCCCTACTACGCATCGAGAACCGCTCTACCAGGCGCTGAGATCATCACACTTCCATATCCTCTGCTATTACAGAAGAGTGCCAGAGATGCTCTTGGCGTGAAGCTGGAAGGCAGCGTTGTCATTATTGATGAGGCGCATAATATCATGGATGCGGTGGCAAACGTGCACGCAGCTGAGATCAAGTTGAGTGACCTGCGAAGAGGACGAGCCATGTTGGGCGTTTACGTTAAGAAGTTTGGCAAGAAACTCAAAGGTGTCAATCGAGTCAATATTGGGAGAGTGGGAAGGGTCATCGATGGTCTTAGCGAGTGGATGGACCGGGCACTCAAGTTCAAGGTGAGTCTACTACCACTGGTCAAATAGCATCCACTGACGTCCTGCTAGCAAGAACATGGTATCGTGGATCCCAACGACTTAACCCGACCAAAAGGTATTGACCAGATCAACATGTTTGAGCTCATTCAGTACATCCAAGAGTCAAAGCTCGCCTTCAAGATCGAAAGTTACATATCCCATGTCGAGAGCGAGGATACAAACTCTAAAACACCAAGATCAAGTTCACCAGTTCTTCACACCCTAGTATCGTTCCTCATCGCCTTCACAAATCTCAGCTCCGAGGGTCGAATATTCTATCAAAAGATCAAGGGGCTAGCCCCTGATATACAACTTTCTTACTTGCTTTTATCGCCAACCTACGCATTCTCGTCTATAGCATCTAGTGCGAGAGCAGTTGTACTTGCGGGAGGTACAATGTCTCCGTTTGACGATTACAAGGACCACCTGTTCCCTTCACTGGAACCAGAAAAAATCACCACTCTGAGTTGTGGACATGTCATTCCGCCCGAGAATCTCTGTGTCTGGACGCTGGCCTCTTCAAGACCTGGGGCGCCACCCTTTGAGTTCAGCTTCCAGAAGCGAGGCGACACAGAAATGATAACGCAGCTGGGCCTTGCCATTCTGAACCTATGCTCCTTAGTCCCAGATGGTGTCGTTATATTCTTTCCCAGCTATGGATATCTTGATGAAGTGGTAACTGTCTGGCAAAAGAGTCAAGGAAATGCACAGCCAACCTGGGATCGACTGGCATCCCGAAAAGCGCTATTCAAGGAATCAAGAGGTGCATCAAGCGACGAAGTTCTCCAAGAATATTCCGACGCCATCCTCGGCGAGAAGAGCAACGGCAAAGGTGCCCTTCTTCTCAGCGTTGTAGGTGGTAAGATGTCAGAAGGCATCAACTTCTCCGACCATCTCGGTCGATGCGTCATAGTAATCGGATTACCCTACCCCAACATCGCATCACCAGACTGGAAAGCAAAAATCGAGTACATCGAGACAACAACACAGAACAATCTTACGGCGCAAGGCGTAGCGAAAGAAGAAGCTATAGGTAAAGGCAAGCAGACAGCGAGAGACTTTTACGAAAACGCTTGTATGCGGGCAGTTAATCAGAGTATCGGCCGTGCAATCCGGCACCGGGGCGATTATGCGGCGATAGTTCTTGTGGATCGACGATATGGCACGGAGCGAATCCGGGGCAAACTACCGGGGTGGATAAGAGGGGGTTTAGTCAAGGACAGTCACGAGAAGGGCCTCGGAGGTCTGATGGGCGCTGTCGGAGGGTTCTTCCGAGGAAAGAAAAGCAAAAGCCAGGATCAGTAAAAGCGATAATGGTAGGGCTGGGTCTTACTTCCAAGTCTGGGCATAACGAAAGCTTTCAGATCACGAGACAGATTTGAGCTTGTACAAAGATGGGAGCTTGTTTGTGGGTGGAGGTCGAGACCCTTCTTGGCGTGAGGATGGAGAAGGCGAATGGAGGAGAAGAGGCAGATTAGGCTTTGCCGCCACAGAGGCCGTGCTTTCAATGGAGGAAGATCGATGGACGGCGTGTTAGAAGGATGCAGAACATGCGTCGAACATTCGATATCAGGCAGTGACAGGGTTCATATCTAAAAACACCGAGACAGCACCATAGTAATTATCTCATCTACAAAGCTACAATCAACCAACATTTAATACGATAAGAAATATGAACAGGAAAAAAGAGAACATCTATGAAGGCTAGATACGGCAACATCAGGCATTTCCTGTCAAACACGCCTTAACTAAGATGCCCGCGGTAAAAGCTCCATGCGGCGACGTTTATCCCGCAGAATCGCGTTAGCAGTCACACTAACACCGACTGCCATTGGCGAATGAATGAATTCTCGTTGGTTGATGAAAAATACTAGCGACATCTAAGAAAAAAAAAAGGCGGAACCGGGTCCGGGACCGGGGTGACCGATTTATTTGCCCATTGACTCTTATAAGACTCATTCTCCTCATTCTATAGTTTGAGTTATTGAACAACCCAAGGGTATCCTATTGTCTTGTTTCTTTCCGGGAGTCTTGCAATGGCGACAAAAACAGAACAAGCTCCAGAGAGGAGCATGCCTCCTGATGATGATCACAGCGATGTCGAGAGTCTCAAGGCAGCGGCTCTTTTCCACAAAGCTTTGCGCATGGGAAGAGTTGAGGAGAAGGGTATTCAGCCCATTCCCATCGAAGAGCGCACCCTAACACGCTTTTACAACATTTTCACGATCTGGGCGTCTATTAACTCTAATATTCTTGGGTAAGTTAATTCCTAAACCTTGTTACAAGCTCATACTGATGTGTATAGTATCACTTTTGGCATGCTGGGTCCATTGGTGTATGGCCTGAGCTTGAGAGACTCTGCGCTCATTATCCTCTTCTTCTGCCTCTTCTCAACCATCGGGCCTGCTTATCTTGCTACCTTTGGCCCCAAAACGGGAATGAGACAGATGATCCAGGCGAGATATAGTTTTGGTCGATATCTCGTCTCTATTCCTGTTCTTCTCAATCTCGCCACTCTGACTGGCTTCATGGTCATCATCTTTGTCGTCGGCGGACAGTGTCTCTCCGCTGTATCAAGCGGCCACTTGAGCCCTGATGTCGGAATCGTCATCATTGGCATTTTGTCGCTATTTATTTCGTTCTGTGGATTCAAGGTTCTGCATTACTACGAGACTTATGCTTTCATCCCTGCTATCATCGCCATCACCATTGCGACAGGATGTGGTGGCTCTGAGCTTTCTAAGCAGGCTCCTCCTGCGGCACCGGCGACTGCAGCAGCAGTTCTCAGCTTTGGAATGATTGTTGCGAGTTACATGATTCCTTGGGCAGCCATTGCTAGCGATCTTACGACATATTTCGATCCCAAGGTCCCCTCGTGGCGCGTCTTTGCGTACAGTTACCTCGGCCTCGTCACACCCACCATTCTCCTCATGGTTCTTGGAGCTGCCATCGCTGGGGCTCTTCCAAATGTGCCCGAGTGGTCAGAAGCATATGGTGAGACAGCAGTCGGAGGCGTTCTCGCAGCCATGCTTTCTAGCGCCGGTGGCTTTGGAAAGTTCGTGGTTGTTATTCTCTCGCTCACTCTGTTGGGTAACACTGGCGGTACAATGTACGCCATTACACTCAACTTCCAGACTCTTATTCCTGGCTTGATCAAGATTCCCCGCTACGCTTTCGCCATTGTCGTTACCGTCATCGTCATCCCCACTTCTCTAAGAGCCCAGCGCGATTTCTTTGTCAACCTCGAGAACTTTGTCGCTCTTATCGGTTACTGGTCCGCATCCTTCATTGGTATCGTCAGTGTCGAGCATCTTGTTTTCCGAAAGGGTCGTTGGGACTCGTACGATGATGCAATCTGGAATGTTGCTTCTGAGCTGCCCCTTGGTATTGCGGCTATCGCTGCGGGTGTTATCTGCTACGCACTTGTTGTGCCTTGTATGGCGCAGGCTTGGTGGACTGGTCCAATAGCAAAGACGACTGGTGATATTGGCTTTGAGATTGCGTTTGTTATGAGCTCGTTGTTCTACGTACCCTTCCGATGGTTGGAAAAGCGCATGTCGGGGAGGTAATTAGGGTGACAAATACGGTTTCAACACTGGATCGAAGATAATGAGATGGAAGCATAAATAGATGGATTAGAGAAAATATTAGCATAATTGTCATTGCTTGATTGAAACATACTTATATGCTGAAGACTAAAGCTCAATAGCCTTACGCCTTCTTCCTTACAGTCATCATCATTCCATCCCCCGGCCTCCCATCCAACCCAAGCTGCTGAAATGCAATGTCCCCAAACACAAGATCAAAATTGGTATGTTTCGTCCTAGGCTCTTTATTGGGCGCCAATCCCGCACATTCAAACGTATACTTACCCATAGTTATGACGATGACAATCTTGAGTATGTCCATTCCCATATTTTGCCCAGGACATGTCCTTCCATCTCCACCAAATGCTCTAAAGTAACCGGGTTCCGGGGGTGCCTTCTCTGGATCTAGCCATCGTTCTGGCCGAAAGGATGTGCGGGTCTGGATATATGTTTGCGTCGTAGTGGATGGTGTGCGTGCTGGCTGTCATGATGAGGCCATTGGCATTAGGAAGACGGCGGCCATCGTGTGTGGTGATTGTTGTACCTGGAGGTGCCTGCTTTAGATCCGACCCTAGGGGGTAAAGTCTCGGAGATTCCTTGATAACCGCTTCTGTGTAAGGGAGTCTTCGAAACATGCTTGGGTTGTCGAGAAAAGTAACTATAGGAGAGGCCCCAAATTATTCAATGTGTTCTCGGTGCATCTTTTCGACGACATCGGGGGCTTTTGATAGAAGCATAAAAATAAACTAGTGTAATATAGTTAGACAAGCATGTTCCTGGAATAGGGGGGTCAACCTACGCAGAGAGTGCTCGTCGATGTGCTGTGCCCTCCTAATAGCATGGTCTTCAAACTACGGTGGAAGTTAGCTGGTGCCAAGCCATGACGAGCAGCAAAACCTACTTGCTAAAGATCATCTCTTCTTCGGAACTAGAAAGCTCTAAGCGACCATACACACCTCCCTTCCTTTCCTCCAGCATAGCTTCGGCATGCTCACGAATTAAAAGGTCCATGATGCTTCTCGGGTTCTGCCTTGATGGAACGTCTCCTTCCTGAACAATCCGCTCAACAAATTCGTTGACCTTTTGCCTCAGAGATCTGTCAAGCCTGCTAACAATTCGGTGTCTTTTTCACCGCCGCGGGATCTGTACCATTGGGTTATAGGCGATGAGGGGATTTGTCTCTCCTCCTGCAAGGTTCACAAGGTCCCTCAAATCCTTCAAGATTTGACTTCCTACTGCTTGAGAATGCTGTGGTTCTCCGAGCGTAACTATCGAGACTATGCCGAATGCTAGTCTGGCGATGAGTTCCTCCATTCAGAAGACGTCTCCAGTCACGGCTAATTCGTCAAGCTTCTCTTGGAATAGCAGACATTCGTCGACCATGATGCTTGTCATTCCTAGGACACGACCCATCGAGAAAGCCGGGCTAACAGCCGTAGCTATCTTTCTCCATAGCGCCCCGTTGGTTGCTGCCATTGTTCCCTCGCCAAGCATTGGCTTCATGAACACCGCAGTAAGGGGGCGTATAGGAAGAGGTTTCGGAAGTGATGAGTTGCCCATGAGTCTGGGATCAGTAATCACTACCATATCAGGGCCTATAGGCCAGAGATCAAGATAGAATATTTCTTCAAGGTTGTATAAGTGGACTATTTCTGTGTAGAGGAGCTGCGGGTGAGTGTTTGGGGGTATTGATGCTGCGACCTGGCCAAAGACTTTGATATGACCAAAGAGCCGGCTATGGGGAGGCCCTGGCTATAGGGAATTAGTTAAGTCACGCGCATTAGTGAAATGGCGAGGCGAAGTACCAAGTCTCGATAAAACCGGCGGTGGCTGTAGCCACGGTAAATATCACGATAATGAGACAGGCTGCCAGTGCGGTAACCAGAATTGGGCCTGGCATTCGTAAAGGGAGTTCCGTTATGATGTTACTTACAGCCATTTTGATCAAGTTAAGAAGAGAAAAGAAGCCTGTATGAGATAAAGAGCTTCGTCTTGAGGGTCACCACGTCAGTCACGGATACTTTTATACATGGACCCAAAGGGCTTGACTGAGATTGAGTTACACGATCTCAAATAGATTCGGGTCCCGGTGCCCGTCAGCCCTAGAAGCTGAGTGTAATTGATTTACTTGGACATGGGGTTTATGCAAAAGGTTCAATGTGCAGTGCAACGGCGGAACTGTTTCATGGTGTTGATCTGGCGGTCAATCTGTGAGTGAAGATAATGAATGCATTGTTGGCCGAGACATGACACAAAAATTTCCCAATGCACAAAATCTCAGACATGATTCAACTATTGACATGTGCAAGATCATCAGTGTTTCGACGACTACAGTGAATTAATCCGATACAATTTATTCCGATTTTCATCTCATATCCCTCGGTACAAGGGCCTTGAGATCTAATTGGTGTAGCCTCAGTATTACGCACTAATCCAACCATGACATCGTCCCTGTGCCTCAGATTCCCCGCCAAGATTTCAACTTCGCTTGCTAAACACGCCCAAAATGTCTGGAAATCTATGGTCAATCCCTCTCCAAACCACAAACTTCAACATAGTCGTCGCTTTTCTCGGCGGCTTCATATCAATCTTCGGCCTCGTATCCTACCTCCTCAAAGAGAACTACTATCTCTCCGAAGCCCGTACGTTTACCAGACCCTTGCATAAATATCTCTTGGCATTTCTAAAGCGCATTTCCTTTTGCAGTTATCTCTCTCTTGGCAGGCGTTGCATTCGGTCCTCATGGCGCAGACTTTATTCGTCCAAAGGACTACGCTGAGTGCGCTGAGTTTCCAGAGTCGTGCGATTTTGACCTCAATGCTATAACCCTCAACTTCAGCCGTCTTGTTCTCGGTGTGCAGCTTGTCCTTGCAGGCGTGCAGTTGCCGAGTAAATACCTTGTGAGAGAATGGAAGTCACTTAGTTTATTGCTTGGGCCTGGTATGACTTGTATGTGGCTTGCTACGAGTCTACTTGTATGGGCACTTGCAGGACAGCCGCCGTTTTTACATGCCCTTGCTATTGGGGCTTGTGTTACACCCACTGATCCGGTTTTGAGTGCTGTTATTGTTAAGGGAAAGTTTGCGGATCATAATATTCCGCAGGATCTTCAGTATCTCATCACTGCTGAGTCTGGTGCCAATGATGGACTGGGCTATCCGTTTCTGTTCTTGGCCCTCTATCTCATCAAGTTTACAGGTGCTGCAGCTACATCCGGTGGAGCGGCCGATGCTATGGGCTTGTGGTTCGGTATGACCTGGGGTTACACCATCATTCTCAGTGTAATCTACGGCGCTGTGGTGGGATGGGTTGGCAAAGAGCTGCTTCACTTCGCTGAGAAGCATAACTACGTTGATCGCGAAAGCTTTCTCGTCTTCGCCATCGCCCTAGCACTCTTCGTCCTAGGGACATGCGGTATGGTCGGTACAGACGATGTGCTAGCCTGCTTCATCGCTGGTAACACATTCACATGGGACGATTGGTTCCGTCTCGAAACCAAAGACGACTCTCTGCAACCTACAATTGACATGCTGCTCAACGTTACCATATTTCTCTGGTATGGAGCCTACATCCCCTGGAAAGACTTCCACGACAACTCTGTTATTCCTCTATGGCATCTTGTCATCCTGGGGATTTGTGTCCTTGTGCTGAGGCGACTTCCGTGGGTGTTTGGCATGCACAAGTGGATTCATCAGATCGAGGAGGTCAAGCAGGCTGTTTTTGTTGGCTTCTTTGGACCAATTGGTGTTTCGGCAGTGTTCTATCTGTTCATCAGTCTGGAGTTCATTGAAGAGCATCTTAGTGATGAGGATGGGCGGCCGAGGAGCGATGTTAAGAACCTTGGAGACCAAACACGCATCATTGTGTGGTTCCTAACAGTTTGCAGTATCGTAAGTGGCCCCCTCATCCATCAATTGTTATTTATGCTAACAGAATATAGGTCGTTCATGGCTTGAGTATCCCAGTCGGAAAACTGGGCTTCCACGCACCCAGGACATTGAGCCGTGTTGTCAGCGAAAGTCTGAGCGATGCTCCAACAGGTGGACGTCGACGAAATATCCCCTTCATTGGGAGGTATTTCTTTGGACCAGATAAGAAAGACGCTCGTCCGGCTACTGGTCCAATTGTCATTACTGGTGCTCAAAGAATGCGTTCCGAGTTGCCTGTTCATGCTGGCGATGAGACACCTCCAATTAGACGAGAGATACAGTTCGCCGATGAGGTGAGATAAGAGTCGCATGTGAGTTTACTTTATCTGGCATGTAGATTCACATCGGTAGACGGTGTCATACGATAAATAGCGACATATCTCATTAAGCGCATCCCTCTAAATAAGAAAATAAGGCGTATCATATAAAAAGCGACAATCCTTTATCATTTCAGTAACCCTCTCACAGGGTGATGTCCCATCATATCTAAGCCAGGAGCATAGCAGCGCCAACAACAGCGCCGACGACTCCATAAGGTGCCATGGCAGCAGCAGCGTTGGTCTCGTCGGGGTTAGAAGCATCGTTGGTAGCAGAGGCATCATTGTTGTTGTCGTTACTTCCACTGCCTCCATTACCACCGCTGCCACCAGTAGCAGAAGGCTCGTTGGAGTTCTGGGTTCGTGTACCGCCAGCAATGGTGGTGGTCAACTGAGAAGCATCTGTAGGTCGAGTCGCGTCGACCGAGACGCCAGAGACGGCAGCTGAGGCGGCGGATGCGACATAGGTGGTAGATGAGAAACCACAAGTGTACATAAGATCATCAATTTCTACAATAATTAGCACAACTCACACATTTCCACAATCATTCAAGAAAACTTACCCTCCGTGTCATCACGGATATCATCATCGTCGTCATCGTCATCACGGTTGTTTTGAGCATTCTGGTGAATGCAACCGGCGCAGAGAGCAGCGACACGGCTAACGTTGAAAGAGTCGTTGGTGCAGACGCACTGGGCCTCAAGACGGTCTTCTTCACGGTCACGATCACCGCGGAGATCAGTGTCGCATGTCTTGGTGAGTTGAATAATGGGATCACAGATGGTGTCGCATTCTCGTGGGATGTCGTCCCGATCGAGACTGATGTCTGCGCGGGCGAGGTAGAGAAGGGGAGCGAGAGCGAGAGCGATGGTTGAAGTATACATTTTGAATGATTGTATGAGAAGAAGCTCTGTTGGTGTTGTTGAGTTTGAAGTGTGAAGTTGTGAATGAAGCTGTTGATGGTGAGAGAACGAATTGAAGGACAAACCAGGCATTTATACATTCTCATCTCATCTGTCAACTCAGTTTCACAATACATTCATACTTTCTTGGCAACTCTCATTGCATGTCACTTCCCGACGATCCCCTTGGCCAGCCGAAAGCCTCACCTTAATGTCGATTGATCCTTGCCTGCTTCGCCAAGCCACGGCAGTCGTAATGCCTGAGGGGATATGCCAAGCAATAAAATCTGCCCACCAATTGATCGTCTGCACGACTCAGAAGCTTGCTCGTAACTGGCTTCACGATAACTCTCGTCTCCGCTTCTACAGTCTTGGCGGAGCGTCATGGTTAAAGCGTTGGGCTGCTATTTCTCCACTGCCAAATTTCTTGCTTTACTCCAAGTCTGGGGAACTCATTGTGCCAATGCTCTCGGCAAGCTTGTATTGACCTCGTAGCAGTTTGCATATAAATTACAGGATATTGGATCCGTACTAGAGGTATTTGGACTAATTATGCTTATATTTCTCCGGTGTGCAAATATAAGCTTAAACTTTTGGCCCTGCGTCATAAGTGACATACAACCAGGGTCGGCAGTTAACAAAGAAATTCGAGAAAGCAAAAAGATCAACAGATGCACGATGATCAGTGGCTTTTCACCCCAGGCCACGCAATACCCCCTCCACTACCCCAGCTCCCGCAATTTATGCTTGCTTCTGCTGTCGCGTGAGGTCTTTCCTCTCTGAGAAGCACACTGATCGTTTGTGATTCGTCTACGAAGGTTTAAACCCGTGGGTTCACATTGGTTGAAGGCGGACTCAGCTGCCAAGACGATATCACAGCCTCGCTAGCCACGCGTTTCCATTCTATCTTTAAGAGCAAAGTTTGTCTTGGCGATTGATTAGTTTGAGCCCTATCGTGTTTGAGCCTCGTTCAGCGTGGTGATCTTGGGGGTTTTCGTTGGGTTATGAGAATACACCGACTGCGTAACTTGGGAACACAGACCTCTTGGCGGCGTTTTTGGGAAGGTCGTCGTGACGTGGCTCAGTACGCTGTGAAGACGACGCAGAGATGTTTGACACGTTAAACTCTGTATTGCCAAGACTGTTGGTTATCATGGTATGGCAGGCTGAGGACGCTCAGATCGCTCAAGGGCGTGGTGATGAGGCGCAAGACAGATAAGGGAAATGTCGGGATGGAGGAAATCCTCGGGTTCTAGAAAATGGGTCCGGATCGGCTTCTTGTGCTACCTTGAAGTTTATTTATCACTGGGCATGGATCAGAATGTTGATCTATATCCGTTTGTTCACTATCATATTGTCGTCAATTTGACGGGAATGGTTATTGTATGGAGACATGAGAATAATAATCGGGATGTAACATTGAGAATCGCACTTCTTTCCGTCTCCCTCTTCCTTCGAAAGACTTGCACTGATGTCTTATTTCAACGTTGACACGGGTGATCTGCACATCCATGCGGTGAAAATACTCAAGAAGGCGTTGTCTCTAAGCAAGCATCTGAATGCTGGCTCACTGCGCATTATGTTAGCTTGCTGATTATCCCAATCTCATAGCAACTCTCACCTTTGCCAATCTCTCGCACATCAGCACGTCCATCCTCTGGCGTCGTCACATTGTATAAGACCCCAGCTCAAGGAACAGCAGTCTTATCCAACTCGGCCAACACAATAGGCGTGTCCGATTCAAGCCTCTCAAGTGGAATCTTGGTCATCTCCCCCGTCCTAACATACCCCAACTTCTCATACCATCTAATAAGTGCCTTTCTCGTGTGCAACGCATTCAACCCAATCTTGCCAACACCGAAGTCCTTCGTGAGATACTCCTCTCCATATGCAACAAGCTTTCTTCCCAGACCTCCACGCTGCAGTGTTGGGTCGACAGCAAGTAGACACAAACGGCCGTAATCCGGGGCCTTTCTCATAACATTGACGCACCCGATTATAGGGCCATTGGGGGTGTCACTTGCGACCAGGAATTTACTATCATTTGAAGTGATCCTGTCGATAATGACGGATATGTCGATGTTGAATGTTTCAGCTAATTCGGGAGATCCGACCCAGTCGATGTGAGCGTCTGTGAAGCGGAACGCTGCTTCGATGAGTTCCTGAAGGCGAGGAGCATCACCTTCGGTGGCAACGCGAAAGTGCAAGTCAGACATTGTAAGTGATGATTTGTCGATCAGTGCGAAATGTTGTTGTCGGCTTGCTGTGTTTAATTCAACAATATACGCAACTGTTTAAATACCTCACATGGATGCTATGGGAATCACTCAGTCCGCGATCTTTAAATAGGAAGGTCGTCTAAGGGCGTCGGATTGACGCGAAGGAAGCGAAAAACATGTCATGTTAAATGGTCCTCAGTGCCGTTTAAGCGGTCTGTTGCAACCTAGACCGATCACTGACGGATAATAAGGGCGAGCCTTTAAATGAACAGCCCTACAAGGGGAGGGCGCAGGCTGTGTTGAGGTTCGGAGATAGGGCAGCAGACCAATGGGAGAATTTGTATAATTGCCTCAACTACTATCTTTGCGCCAATCGGTCTTTACATTATTTCCATCTTCGTTTGTAAGGCTGTTAGCAGGAAATGCTACATCAGTGGTCAGATTGTTCTTGATCTAAACCGTGGTGAAGCTGCTTACCCGAGACCTGTATCATTGAGATCGGCGTAAGGCACTCACTCTGGCACAAGAGCTATTTATTTCCTGACTATTGTGTTCGCTTTGAAAACCACATATAAATAATTCCTCGTTTCACTCTACTCAATGGCGCTGTGTATTTAATCTCCTAATTCAGCAGAGCTGTAACATTGTGGTCTGGTTGTTATAGGATTCAATGTCAGTTTCTCCCCCAGGACAACCTCCATTACTGTATAGATGAAGGAACAATCGACATAATTGGATTGGTGGTTAGTGAGGTCTTTGTCGGCTTATTTGGAAATATTTGCTTTCCCACTCTCTTTGAATGCTCACTTTGGGTCTTCGCGTCGGGCTTTCGGGCCCATGGGAAATCCCGACAGCTTCACAATATGGCTTCAGCGGGGACGCGCTGCAGCGAACGTGGACATCCCTCACCCTTGGATTCTCACTCCATCACTTCAATCCTAGTTAAGATCAATTGGAATTTCTGCTCATACTAAGTTGAACATGTATAAGAAAATCCGCTTGTCATTGCGAAGAGTTGTCCCATACAAACGAAAGTGCATTGATTCAATTGCTTCAATCCTCAATTGGAGCCATCAAACACCAATGAGTCAGGCCCAATTACACAGCCCAAACTTCATGCAATTGAAACTCGATTCATCGTAATTGTCCTATCGTTGAACAGTAAAAACGGCGATCCCGATAACCCATCTCACACCGTTCGGGTCCACGGGCCCATGGCCATAAGCGCCCGCTGCAAGGAATGCTTTAGCGCAAGTGCCCCCAAAATCCAAGCACACTGTACGCCAACCTCGAGCAATATAAAACACCATCCCTCGTCCTCACTCTACTTCTCTTTCTTCATCAACACCAACGGACTCTCCCACCGTCCGCCCCTCCCTTCTTCCCTCTTTAGCCTAATCGGCCTCTCTGCACTCACAGGGGAGGCCAAGCCCCCTCTAACTTGAATCAATGGCAGTCACAGCAGCATCAGGATCAAAGTGCGCCAGACAACTCGTCATGTCATGGTAGTCTCATCAGTGCCCCAGCGCCAGATTCTGATTTTGGTCTCTTGTGCGACGTTTCTCCTTTCTTGGATCTTCCCCTTCTCGACTTCGACTTCAACTCCCAAGGCGTTTACCAGGGAAATGATGCGACGTGGGATTTTGGTCAGAATATGGGAGAGGGATTGTTTGATCAGATTATGATTTCTGACATGAACGCTCTGGATACGAATACTCAACTCGATGTGGGAGATGGCTTCCTTGCCCAGGCGCAGCCTCTCATCACTGTCGACTCTTCACCACTCGAGCAACCTTCAACATCAAGCACTCCCCACCCTACCACCACCAACAAATCTCCTTCATCATCTATCCCAGGAACATCTACCTTCTCCCTCCACCCATCCCCCTCTTCTTCGTCAGGCTCCTCTCGGAAGCGCAAATCGTCACCGGAAGACGAAGAGTCAGCTGTCACCCTCAAACGCCAACGCAACACCCTCGCAGCTCGCAAGTACCGCCAAAAGCGACTCGATCGCATCTCAGAGCTCGAGGAGGCATTGGCTGCCATGACAAATGAGAGGGATGATATGAGACTTCAACTTGCGAGGAGGGAAGCTGAGGTGGATGCCTTAAGAGAAATGCTAGGGAAGAAGTGATAGGAAAAAACATCGGAAACAGAATGAGATGAGCAGGAAAGGAAACACAACACGAGTTCAGCATCGTTGTTTGGATTCGGGGCTTTGGAAAGACTTCTAGATATGTTACGTGTTAGCGAGGCGCATTTCTAATTATAATGTTTTTTGTTTGTTCAACCATTGAACCATAATTGATGTGAGATGTGATATGTGTCATGAGATGATAATGCCCTGTTAGCAGGCGAGGTCGCGATTGTTGATAGACTTCATTGCCTCTTGACATATAGAGAACTCGGATGAATCTTGTGTCAGCTTACACTCATCTTCATCATTTGTGTCACCACTTACATCAATTGCTTCGTTATGTCAAGTCATCTCAAGCAATTTATACATATTTATTTGACGTTGTTAACCTCCGTAGCATCCGAACGACCCTGGCGTAGAGCTCAAAATCAGTCTATGTATAAGGGCTTGCCATTCCATTACCATCTCTTCCATGAGATGAGTAACAATGAATCACTGACAAGTTGCGATAGAAGCCCAGTGCATCACGAGCATGGAAACACTGTAAAGACCCTGGACGTGAGCGGGAAGTGGGGCAGTTGCGAGGTCCTTTGTTTCGATAAAGGATGAGCCAGAATGAGTCATTTCGCAGATTTCCCTTTTAGGAAAGAGAGATTCTTGCGCTGATCTGAAGCTTATCAGTGTATCAGCGTAACAGCAAATGCAGATTGGACAATTCTGTGAAGTGATAGTCCACAGTATTGTAGTTTAACTCTGCCATATGCCGTCTCAGCGAATTGGGCCAGGGAACGTGGTGTGTTCCCGCCTCAAGATAGCGAGCCACAGACAACTCCTCACGACACGATTTTTTCACCACATGCATAACTCACGATAAGAAACACATCTACAACAAGGAGAAAACAGCCAAGGTGGCCGAGCGGTCTAAGGCGCCAGACTCAAGATCTGATTGGTTGGATCTTATCCTGTTCAGCAGGAAGTATTCTGGTATCGAAAGATGCTTGGGTTCGAATCCCAACCTTGGCAAATACTTTTTGCCAAACGGTCCTTTTTTTGACGTGGAGGGAGACATGCTGGGAGCCTCGCAGTTGACCCAATTGCTTACTGGGAGGGGCTACGTGTGAGATTGCGTTTACAAGTCTTGAGTTACAATAGCTAGAACTCCCATCTTGCGGGCTACATGTTGACGACACTTGGACAGGGTTGCATACAGCTGTACATATTATTGCTACCCCTCGTAAAACATGAATTGCAACTAAACTTGCTACAATCTCTGACGTGAAGGTCGAAATGATGGAAAAGCAAGTGTTAGTAACTCCCCTCTGTCCATAGTAGACCAGTTACTGGTTCACTCAGTCAACAGCTTCTGCCAATTAGACAACCCATTGCTCATCACTCCATTTCCATGTTCCTCTTCTTTTACCCAACTTTTTTCATCGCCTGGGAACTGCAATTATGCCTTGCTTCTCACCGCTACGACGTGAATTACGGAATCATCAGTCTCAATCTGAGCCCTCACCATCACAAGATCACCATCCGGTATGGTGTAGTGGCTAACATTTCGCGCTCTCATAACTTGAGAGATCAGTTCCGCGGAGCCCAGGGTTCGATTCCCTGTACCGGAGAATGTTTACTTTTTCTTTTTTGCTTTTATCTACGATGTTTCGATCGGTGGAACATCATAGGACTGACAGCATGGCTATGAGGAAGGTAAGGTAGGCCGGCCTCCCCAACCTGGCTGGATACGCGGATAATGCTGTAGTGCAGGATGGCTATTGGTATATTGTACACACAAAAGCCGGGCGGGCCGTGTAAAACGCTCCCAGAAAGCAGTATCATGGATGATCAAGGACAAGGAAATGCTTGCCAGCTTTACATCCTACGGATCTGCTCACCCATCTTCCTGCGCCTCGAGTGCCATGGTGATATCTCCTCGGTTGTCTCTTTCGACATTGGCAGACCAAGCTTGACAAGAGTCTCCAGCAACAGAGCTGACCCTTCTCGCCCGTCTTCTCTCCCTATCCAAATTGTTGGTGGCACTCACGGATATCCCATTGACATCCGTCTTTTCCGAGCCCAAGACTACAAGGATGACACCAACCGAGATCATGCCCTCATGTACGATATCATTCTCCTCGACACCTTCTCGTGATCATTGATGTGGGTTTAACCGTATCAAAAGTCCTCCGAATACCTTGGCACATCCATCAATGCCTGACTCGACAAGAACATTACCCAAAACTCACTCTTTCTAGCCGAGTGTTACTCAAGACCTACCTTGATGCTGCTTTTGCGTCTGTTTGTCTCACATTGCCGGAGTAGACAAGTCTACGGACATAATAGACCAAAAAAGGAGAAAAGACCGCCTTCGTTCTTGGACGAATACGTTAGAATGAAACGCCACAACCTGTCACCTTGCTCGCCTCCGTGTTTTGACGGTTCGACAACATCACTGGATGGTTGGCACACTTACACCCTTCTCCAAACTGATCAACATCACCAGCCACAAGTTCCCTCACTGCAACACCAACATTCTCCAACCTTCGCCACAACGTCTCCTCCGCAGTGGAGAGAACACGGCTCGTCACGCGTCCGGCCAGAGGGTCTTTGACCTCACCTCACCGGCCCGTCCCATTCGTCAGTGCTGATACGAGGCCGGGCTTAAGACATGCGCCAGGCAAGAAGGTCATCCGAAGAGGAGCAAGGTATGCCATTGGGTTTTGTCATGAGAGTGTCAGCAAACGAGGCTCTGGGCGCTGTGCTAGTCATGAAGCGCATGACTGGTGCTATCATAGACCTTGGAAGAGCCCGTCAGGCGCTCTAGAGTGTCGGAGTTGATGACAGAAAAGTGCTTTGTCGTGATTCCATAAGAATGGTGTCATATCATGCTTTGAGGGCCGGTATGGTTTTCACGAGTAACATTAGATGATAGAGTGAAGCATGGTTGTAGCGATCCGGTTCCTTCGGGCCCTGCTGTAACCATCAACGTGAACAGGAAGTTGTGTTGCAAATGATGATTTCTTGCAGAAACTAGACGTAGTGGCCGTTGCGATCGTCCTCAGGGTCTCTGCAGCAGGGAATACAGACGATGAAATGTCACAACGCCGGAGACTTTTGACCGGACTGTGTACTCCTGTTGCCAAGTTCATCAGGATTCAAAACAATTCAGGCTTGGCGATACAGACGCAACGCGTCCGAGGGGGCGATAAACACCAAAGAGTCGTGATCATGGTGGGGGAGCAAGACTGATGACGCCGCCGGGATTGAGTCGGATGATGTGGGGCAGGGATCATGAGGCTTCTCAAGATGCTACTATGTTGCCCATGTCAAAGAAGAGTCGATCTCATCGAATGTGAGGGTGTAGTGACCAGGAATCTCCTGGTCTGAATGGGAGTGGTTGGGCGATCGAGAAAGCGAGTGCACGGGGACGGGTGGTGTACATTGAGTGGGTGTCATTCTGCTTAGCGCAACACTTGCCGAGCGCTTATTTCGGATCATGAATGAAAGGCTGTAAGAAGTTGACGTCTCGTGGTGTTGGTGTTTAGCGGTGACTCAAGGAGAGACAAAAGCCAGACAGACAAGGTGAACCCAGCTTTGCGGAGAGAGGGGCGGGAACAAGCAGCGTACATTAGAACATTCGACAGGGACGCCACTTATGCGATGCGAAAGGCTGAAGGTGCCAAATCTGGGGGCGCCAGCCAAGCCACCAGAGAGTCAATAATCTTTCAGGTGCAACAGCCAATACATTTGTCCAAGCCTGTCGTGTATGATGGACTTGACCAACTGCACAGAGGCTGTGAGTCTGAAGATCAAAGAAGAGGCAAATTTCCATATCATGACCCTGGTCTAAAACGTCAGTGCTTCTCGGCAGTTGATAACCACGAGAGACAAACATACGGGGTGTTTCGCGAAACCAAAAGCATCGATAGGATAAAAGATGGGTGTAGGGGGAATGCGGGAGGAGCGAATCAAGAAAGGCGCCTTGATGAGGATGCTACAGCATGTAAGAAAACTTAGGACCTCGATCATAAGTGACAGAAATACTGGAGCAAGTCTCGGATAATGAGGACAAACTTGGGAGACTCTTTGACTAGTTATTTCCGCACCCTCATTGAAGGTCTCAAGTATTTGTCCACTCTTTGAGGAGGGTCTTGATTGTGGTGGTGGTGTTGATGATCACCCGCCTGAGACAACCAAGGCTGATGGCTTGACCAAGGACATCTCGCCCGGTCGTGGCGCAGTAGAAAGTAGTCTCAAAAGTTGGAGAAGGTTGCTCTCCTTTTCTGATCAATAATCGGGTACAGGTTCCTTGATTATAGAGGTCTAGAAACTGATCCCGAGACAGATGAAGCTCAAGCTTACTGGTTGAGATCTGCAAGGTCGAAACTCAAAGAATCCAATACAAGGCTGTTCCCATGCACAATCACCTGCGAACGCCTGCAAAACATAAGCATCCAGAGACGAATCAGCTAAATTCAGCACTGTATAATCAGAGCTGAAGAGGCAAGGATGTGTGATGCGATGGGGCAGTCAATTGGTCTGAGTGAACGCAGCTGCCACTGAAGAGCATGTACGTTGGGCAGACATAGCCAGCCATCCTGACCTGCGGAAGCTACCCGTACGACGCATCTGGAGACTAGTGATAGCTACCAAGGCCTACAGCAGGGAGGTGCCATAGTTGCCGGAGAGGATGCGCGGAGACAGCGGCATCGCGGGATATTTGAACATAGTGGAGATGGACAAGGCTCGGGATGGAACGAAACGAGCCGGAGGATGAGAAGACAGAAAGAACAAAAAAGGTGCGGCTGTATCAGGGAGGTGTGGATAGACCGGAGATAGCATACGCGGTGAGTCGGTAATGAGAGGTCATGTGGGAAAAGTGGTGATGATAAACAACGACACTCCAAGCCTCGCTAGATCCGGCTTTGCCCGGGCGATGACGATAAGTGTATCATTCTTTCAAAATAGCCTGAATGACACTGAGACAAGCATAGAACAGAGCATCTCGGTTATGCGCGTTGTATCGTAAACAACGTCAGGCCTCATCGTGAATGTCTGATAATTGATATAAATGGAGTTTTGAAGTTGAGGTGCCTACACACCAAACTGCACGGCTATTTCTGGATCAGAGACCCACCGACTCGACGCTCGGACCGTCACCTACCCCTCCTTGATCCCCTGACAATCGCCCAGGCCAGTGTACTTACAGTGGATGTCTTATAAAGACGCTGGAAACAGTTGATTGTGTTCCACTAGAACGGCGCCCTAAGATCACGTCTTCCCGATATGTCGTGGGCTGGGCTGGACACTGCAGGAGATACATACATGCAGATGTGATTGTGTAACTCGATAATATCCAACTTGATATCCTCTTGCATTTTGTCCTACCCAAGGGATGAAGTTATCACATCCCACGCAACAGGGCTTGTGCATGGAGAATGTCGTCAATGACTTACAAACAATGCATTGGGGTAGCACCGATAGCCCAGAGGAGAAGGACATGAATGCAATGATTCCACAAATCGAAGGTAGCCGTCTTAACACGGAGATATATAACATGTTCCTGTGATACGAATCTTCTGCTGTGCGAGGTTGATGTCACAAAACAAGTCACTTCCCCAAATGCACCGTCCAAGATGGAATTCAAGGGCAGAAACAACACAACAGAGTCGGTACATTGATATTATCTGGTAGGCGGCAAGCTGCGCAAGCGTAAACGCGTTACAATCCCAATCGAGTCCGCCTCGACTTGTTCTGGGCTGAGGCACTGACGCCAAAGGATTGTCGATGGGGAGAGACCCTGGTACGACTCTCTGTGGGTGCATCCTGGGCGCACATGGGCACGAGGGTCGAGGGTCTGGTCGGCCGAGTTGGGGATAGTCCTCGACTGCCTTGATGTAAAGATGACTATGAACGGTTGGTGGCTTGGGGAAATTGTATGTATGTATGTATGTCAGACAGACAGACAGGGATATCCATTGCTGTACAAGGCCAGCCAGCATCTGTACTGTGCAGTCAGACAGCACTGTACTCTAAGTCAACTTCATGATGCAAAGATATCGAGCAGACCACGCACAACATTACGAATCAGTTTACAGGGATCTTGTGTCGTCATTATCGCGAAATGTATACCCCCCTTCTATTCAGAAAGAGGCAATGCAAGATCGTCAGGTGCGGAACCCTGGATATCCGGCTCTTGGAAGTTGTAGGGGTCCTGTCATGGTGGGCAATAAATCGGCGGGTGGCGTCCTGTAAATCCTGGAGGACCCTTGACGAGCAACGAGATACGAGAATTTCAGCTTTGTCGATATCCTCTTAAAACGGATGGCTTTTTTTTCTGTCATGAATGTTTATTTGACATGGGAATCAGCATGTGTTGAAGAGGGTGGCGTTGATTCACACCTACCGGTGGCGATGGCACTGGCACAGGAATCTAGACATGAAGCTTCAACGTCGACGGACTCGGACTACGATATCGTGGCTAACATTCCAGGTTCACTCACGGACTGTCCGTAATATTCTATTGGAAGCTTGTTTCACTTCATATTCTTATGCTGGATATGACTGGATGAGAAGACTGGGATGTTTCGATAGCTCCAAGAACGACAAGATCCAGACCGTTGAGATGAGATCTATGATACAAACATGCTGTCTCCTCCGGTCTCAAGTGCAACCTTAAGAGATGTAGGTATGCATCAGAACAAGTTATTCAGCACATCCTTCTGCGTGTGTGACCCTTTGATGGCCTGATTCCTCCCTTCGCTCGTCATCCAGATGGCCCTTTTGGGAGGGACATGTAGCAAATGAGAGGCCAAGCCATCAAGGGGGACGTCAAATAACCTAAAAGTCTATTCTTCTAGCTTCGAGCATACGCAGCTCATAAAGATACCTTTTTCCAGGTTCATGGGCTGAGGCTTGAAGAACTGCGCATTGAGGTTAGGCTGACCCCCGGTTCGCAACGTTCCGCGCCAGTTTACCGGTGAGGATACTGTGAACTTGTGAAGTGGATGCTGTGATGGGATGTTTCAGATTGTCTAGAGTTGATGAATTCCACAACCCATTGTTATCCCACCCTCAGCCGTGTCTGCACCCAGAGTAGAGAGGTGTCTAGGCGGGTGGGCCAACAGACACACACGATGAGGTTTGTTTCGGGTCCGATAGTCAGTCACGTTGGCGGTTTTCGGGTTGAATCTTCTGCCTAAGTCTAGGACCTCAAAGTGTAGGTCTGTAGGATATGGATGGCTGTCTGGTGGTGTAGGCTATGTAAGCAGAGGAGGCTGGTATATTAAAAGGCAGCCTTTTCCCACCTGAGACCTGTTGTCTGCTGTATTGTATGATGGCTCTTCCATTTACTTCCCTCCGACTCTTTACATTCTTTGATCCTTCTACGGGAGCGGTCACCTGAGATATAACGACCTCACAAGACTCAAGCAACATAGCATAGCAAAGTTATAGGTCTTACTCGTCTTACACCAAAACAAGTATCCCGAGATATCCGCAGCTGGATCACTATTTTCTCATATAAGCCATCTGGAACATTTCCGGATATAGAACTGCAGAGTGGGAGGTATTTCCTTGGCTTACCCAATAAACAAAAGTGGCCTCATACAAGCAGATCGCTATTCGATGCGAACGTCTGCATTGCCTGCCGAGTACAGTAGTCTACAGTACTCGAGTGAGTGGTGCTACAGAATAGGAAAGGACGGGGTAGTATTTCTGGTTTACAGGGCATAACGCATCTAAACCAGGATCAGGTCCTCGTTTGTCAGGTGCCTCTCTTTCGCCGCCATTTATTTCTCCTCAGCCCAGAAAGAAAACCTGAACTTGTTCAATTCGTTATCAACTCTTTTTATCATCTTGCGCCACTCTAGTTACGACTTACTCGCAATTATCTTACCGGTAGTGGAAACATATCCGCCGTCGCTGCCGGTTGCACCATCAGAGTCCGGGCACGGCGACATACCCCGTCCGTGAGGTACAAGCTTAAACATATTACCACCGCGGGATATCAAAGTCACTTTTGTCCGTTCACCCCTCCATATCCGTCGCTCGTTGCTCGCAAAGAACAGCCCAGGCCAGGCCATTTCCAGACTCGCAGAGGCACAGACAGAACAGAAGAGACAGGACAGGATTATCATAACGCCCCCACCATTTCCCCATCACTCGCATTGCATCAATCGCGTCAGGTCTTCCAGGTTCTTTTACCGCGAGTTTACCTTAGTTAGCTACCTTACGCCTAACTTTACACTGCGACGCCTAAAGCAACGCCCACTTCGGCCACTCTCGCCCGCTTTCACCCACTACGGGCCATCGTTTGCCGCCCGCTCCGCCGCTGGGCTTCACTCAACTCGCTACCATTATAGCACTCTCCTCCTTGGCTTTCCGGTTTCCAACTCTGGTTCTTCTAAACTCCCTCCACTTTCTTTTTATCCTTCCTCCACCTTCCCTTGCTTCGAACCTTGGACTTCGGCCCGCCCCCCGATTTCGCCCTCCATCGCGAACTGCTTCAACCCGATAGCCCTCCAACACAAAAGTATCATGCCTGAATACCGCCACGCCAGGAGCGGTAGCCTCAGCGTTGCCAACGGCGGTTCACACTCTCAGGCGAGCGCTATGGCGAATACTCCCCGCTTCGATGGACCCCGAAGTCCCCCGAGTACGTTATGTTCACCCATTGTTGCTTTGCTGCGTGGTTGTTCCATGTTGCACACGACCCCCGCCAAACCTTGAATACCAAATGTCGTCCCTACTGACACGACTGAATCATAGATACGTCCCACGTTCCTTGCAAGTTCTTCCGTCAAGGTGCCTGTCAGGCTGGTAATGCCTGTCCTTTCAGTCATGATTTGAGCAACGCTGCTGAGAACGTCTGCAAATACTTTGCAAAGGTGAGTGCGCCATATCATGATCGATCGCCCGCTGCCAGCCGCATCCACCCCTCATCACGTCGCAACGTCTCCAATCCACAGCAGCACTGACGATCGTTTTTCAATGACAGGGAAACTGCAAGTTTGGTCCGAAATGCGCAAATATTCATATTCTCCCCGACGGTCGACGCATCAACTACGGAAAGAATGGCGTCACGATAGGCAATACTTCCGCCCTCGCGGGTCGATCCAACCCCACCTCCGCAAGCAACAATCAATCCTCCACCAGCGCCCTCACCACCTCCCTCTACCGCGCTGACGTTCCAGCATACGCTTCGGCATATCCTTACGATGAACAAGATCAACACACTCTCGGCCGACAGCCTAGCCTCGAGAATGGTCTCCCAACCATCGATATGTCCTATACTGGATCCAACTACGGTTCTCCCCGAGACGAAGAGTCCTTGCGCTTTGGTATGGGACTTTCTCCTATTAACAACAAGGGTCTCTCTGTCCTAGACGCTCCTCTCCCCGCCTCTTTCGATTCCAATGGCATCTCCAACGCTGCTCGCTTCCCCGCTGGTCCATGGCCATCGTCCGTTCCCAACCAATTTGGCATCGAATCGCCAACTCCTTCGCTCAGCAATGCTAAGGACTCGCGTACGTCGGAGACACTCAAGCTTTTACACACTTCAGCATTTGGTTCGTCGGAACACCTCTTGGCCCCTCTGGATAGAAGCCCTCCTAACTCTCATCAAGCCAACGGGGAGGAGTATTTTGGCAGGCGAGCTATGCACTCGTCCCGCTTTACCAAGCCCCGAATGCTCAGTTCCAGCATGCCTAAGACGTCTGTTGACCGAGACTGGGAGCCTGGTTTTGCCTTTGGCGACGATGACGACAATCTCCCCGAGAATTATGTACCCGAAAACCTTCAAGACCTCTTGACTCCAGTCGAAAAGGCTCGCCGTGGCTCTATGCGAGCTGACAGCGATGTTGAGGGCCTGAGCAAGTACGGCAGTCCCATTGGAACCAGCCCTAGCCGATGGGGCCCTATGTTCCAGCGACAGAAGGAAGAGGAGGAAACCTCTCGATCTCTCCGAGGTGCTTCTGCTTTTGGTCACGTTGGAAGCCCACTCCGGAACTCTGTTCTTTCACAAGAGATGGGAGGCACAAACGGCTTCGTCCGTCCATCTTCCTTGCGATCTGGCAGTGACGGCATGTCCATGCTTTCTCAGCAACTTCAGCGAAGCCGTCTTGATGACACTGCAGGCAATTCTAGTCCTCTTCTCCACCCCGCAGCCGCTCGAGCTGGTGCTACCGCTAGTGCCATTAGCCCCATTAGTCCTATTGGCAAGGAGCGTGAGCGTGGTGGCATGGAGCGTCATGTGTCAAGCGGTAGCATCAGCTCATCTATGAACGGCCGATTCACTACCCCCATTAATGAAGACGACGAAATGTTTCACATGGAGGGCATGGAGGAAGACGGCGAGCCTTCTATCAAGTCACCTAAGAGGACATCAGCTGGCTTGGCCAACGTCTGGAGTAGCTATGCTGGTGCTGTCGCCGGCAAGCCCTCCACCAATGGAACCAAGGGAGTTCCAGTCAGCGGCCGATAAACGACCAGGCTGAAGGCGGAGGATAGCGTCTTTGAACAACTGGTTTCAGTTTTATCAGCCAAGCGTCGGAGTTGGTAGCTTAGACAAAAAAAAAAGTAGGTGACGAGTTGATGAGCCATGATCTTGAGCGGACAACACCACAATCGCTACGACATACTGCATTTCGCCAACAAGCTTTGCACTTGAGTGGAACGGACGAAAGAAAAATATGAGGATGCATGGCAATTTATTATGGCCAAGATCAAAAGGATATAGGATACACGGCCAGGAGTTTTGACATTTTCTGTTTTCATATATTGCTTGATAATCGCTATCATATCATGAACTGCTTCGGAAGGCGGACGGAATCTGATTTTTGCCCACTCAGTTTTCAGGCTTGATGAGGGTGGCAAGCAAAGCTGACTTATAGTTGCTAGATGCACAGTTGGGTCTGTTTGCTTGGTATCTTCATCTTGGGCATGGTGTTTTGGGGAGGTTCGGATCTACAAAAACAATTGCAAATGGGGGTCAAGACCTCGTTAGATATATCGAGGCAAATCATGTATGAAAATAGCTGCATGTATGGGAGGATGCATAATGAACATAACATGTTCACCAGGCCTGTTGGCACTGGATTCACTTGGTACCTAGCCATTGGCGGTGATGTAATGTTGATTCTCGGCAGATCTTTGTGTCTAGACTACGTGATAATGAGGCCTGCGTACTAGTCATGCTCCATGGTGGGGATATTGGCTATGTGACCTCTACAGGGAGCAGTCACAGAACGTAGGTAGAGAAATTGGGTGTTTCTATACACTATACAAAGCCAGAGTAGAGAGTCCACTATCTACTCTTCTTCATCAACTCAGCGAAGTTGATGCATCCCCATTCTCCCAATTCACTGCTTCACAATACGAAGATCAGGAATCAACTAGTCGTCACATCCCACGAGCAGTAAAGGAGGAGGTCAAGAATACACTTCAAGCCGATCACTCATCGCCAAGTCTTTCATTCAAACATCTCCTCATCTCTCCTCCTGTGGCTCCTCCTCCACGACCATCTGGAAAACAATGAACCGTCTCATGGTGCGCCGAGATTAAAAAAGAACTTGATGCGTTATATTGCATTTTTATATCTTTCCTTCCACCACCACCCCCTTCACAATCCCCCGCTGGCTTTTTTTATCGGCGTCTTTTAAATCCTTGCCGAGTAAGGATTTCGGTGGTCATGAAAGTGGTAATTGTACAATGAGGAGCAAGAAAGAGGGGTGGTGGTTTGGGAGATATACGTTTAGTTGGCGTCGGGCTGGTTCAGGATGTACTCGACAGCCTGTTGGACTGGGAGGTTGTTAGTATGTGTTTCGGGGGTTTTATAAAGGGAGAGAGGTTATATGTACCGGAGTGGATGGAGTCGGCGTCCTTGTCGGGGATCTCAATACTGAATTCCTCCTCAATGGCCATGACGACCTCAACGGTGTCGAGAGAGTCAAGACCGAGGTCGTTGGCGAAGTGAGCGGTGGCACCGATCTGCGGATGGTTAGGTAAATATTCGAATCTGTCAATCATCGAGACGTACGTTGGAAACATCGTTGACCTGAGACCATCATTAGCTACTGGTTTATCGGATCGGCAATTTGGAGGGGATTCCCTCGGTGAATCCATTGCCATCTCGGAGATGATTTCTCACCTTGTCAAAACCCTTCAACAAGCTCATAATTCGGCCCTCGACCTCCTCCTTGTTAAGCGCACCGCCAGCGCTGTAGAACCGCACGGCCTGGAAGCTCTGGATCTTGGGGACGGCGGCGGTAGCGACGCGGGGCGCCACGGCGAATGAGCGCATGGCGGGACGGGCGGCGACGCGGACGGATCGGAGGACTGCTGATCGGAACATTTTGGCTGTGTTTTCTCTTTCTCTTTTCCCGGGTATCGAGGAGGAAAGGGTCAATTGACGTCGGTGGGCGGTGGTGGAGTTTGGATGATGAGGTTGAAGGTGATGATAAATTTCTCGTTGCTACCCGGGTTGACTGGTCTGTTCCGATGGAGGAAGCTAAGCTAAGCTCGGTTTGGGAGGTGTCACGTGATTGTACCGGGGGAACGCTCTGGTATACGTCAGCGAGGGGGAAGATGTGATTGGGTGATGAGGCCGAGGAAGAGGAAAGTCATTGAAGAGTTGAGTTTAATGGGAATTTGTGAGGAAGTGGAATTGAGTTGAAGATCGCTTTGTGAGATGTACTCTGTAAGGTTTATGGTGTTTATTGATTGAATTGCTGGTTGTAGTATAGTCAGCATAATCGAACTTGTCCCCATTGGTCTCTTTCAATCTGGGGAAGCAACTGACATGAATTCACTGATGTTAGACAAGAGTACTAACAAGTTTACGCACTCTCATCTGTCAATTGACAAATTGAAATGTCAATTCAATGCTTGATAGATTAAAGATAATCTCTAGTCTTAGTAACTGCGTTCCCCATGTCCTACAGATAAGCCCATACCGCCGAACCAGCCATCTTACATCCCCTACCCTGAACCTACATCTCTTCATCTCAAAGCCAAGCTTCTAATTCACCCAATGAGCACCAACTACCGACTCAGCATGAATGTCCCTTGTCTATGTTCCCCAGGTCAAATTGCAATCACCAAAAGATCGTCTACAAACGTTCCTTGGACTCATCCAATCACGACCCCTTGCTGCATGTTATCTATCGCTTCACCTACCACAAACAGTCTGCCCGTGCCCCCAGGGGACTTTGTATACGGGAAGCTGGCTGAGATAGGAAGGAGAGCCACTGGAATCCAGTTGATTCACAGGGCCAAGAATTCCGACGTCGTACGGGAGATTCAATGTCTGGGTGATCTTTTGTCTTAAGCTTAAGCTTAAATATAACCCTCTTCTCTCCCATCATTGGGACTTCTTTTACTCCTCATCGCCCTTTTGACTTTACTGGTAGTTATTTCTTTACAACGGGTCCCAATCATGAAGCTTCAACTTTTGGCCTACGCTCTTTCGGCTTCTGCCTGTCTCATCCCCTCCGACTCAATCCCCCACTCGGAGCGCGCTGCAGTCCTCGCCGCTAGACAGGCCACCCGCCCGGAACCCGATTTCCCCATCGGAACGGGCGATCGCTTCAAGAAGGGCACTATCGTCCCCAAGGGCCTTTCCACCTCAGACCGCAACCTCAAGTCCATTCTCACTCCCGCTGAGGTCTCTTCCGCTCTTGAGGGTCTTGCTAAGAACTTCAAGGAGGTTGAGCTCATCCGTCCCCCCTACAAGACCTATGAGGGTGTAAAGACCCTTGGTGCAAAGATTGGAAAGAACCCCAAGTTCTTCATCATTAGCGGTGCCCATGCGCGTGAGCGTGGTGGTCCCGATCATGTAGTCTACTGGCTTTCTGACCTCCTTCACGCTCGTAAGGCGGGTAAGGGTCTTAAGTATGGCAAGACTACCTTCACTGCTGCCCAAGTCCGCAAGGCTGTTGATGGCGGTATCGTCGTCCTTCCCATCATCAACCCCGATGGTGTCAAGTTCGATCAATCCACCAACTCATGCTGGCGCAAGAACCGTAACCCCAAGAGTTCAAAGGGTAACCCTGATGCCATTGGTATCGACATCAACCGCAACTACGACTTCTTGTTCAACTACAAGAAGGCGTTCAACTCAGGCATTGATCTGAGCTCCGTTGCCTCTGAGGATCCTACCAGCGAGGTCTTCCACGGTACTGGCCCCGAGTCAGAGCCCGAGACCAAGAACGTCGTCTGGGTTATGGACAAGTACAAGAGCCTGAGCTGGTTTGTCGACCTGCACTCTTTCGGCGGCGATATCCTCTACGCATGGGGTGATGATGATGCGCAGACCAAGGACCCCAAGGAGAGTTTCGCGAACAAGAAGTTCGACGGACGACGTGGTGTTCTCGGCGACGCTGAGACCCCCAAGACTAAGTACAAGGAGTACATCACCTCCAAGGACATCAACGTCCAAAAGAAGGTTGGCAACAGCATGAAGAAGTCCATGGAGAGCGCTGGTACCACCAAGTACGTCGTGCAAGAGGCTGTTGGTCTGTATCCTACTTCCGGAGCCAGCACTGACTACGCCCTTGGCCGATTCTACGGCAAGGCTTGCGGTAAGAGCAAGTTGCAGAGCTACACTATTGAGTTTGGTGAGGAGAGTGGTTCGGCGGCTTGTCCGTTCTATCCTAGTGAGAAGCAGTACCATATGTGGATGAAGCAGGTCGCTTCTGGTTTGACTGAGGTTGCTCTCGCGGCTGCTGAGACCAAGCCTGAGGTTAAGAAGTGCGCATACCCAGCTCCCAAATAAGCCAAGATTGAGCGTTTCGTTGTATATAATTAGTTGAATGAATCATGATTATGATGTTGATGTGGATGTGCTGAAACTCCCGTTAGTGATCACAACTGACCTCATCACCGTGCCCAAATTGTACACTGCTTCTCTTGACCATGACTTCTCCCGCCTTCAGCTTCACACAAACCAACCAATTGAGTGACAAAGGGGCATTTTTGGACATCTAGATTATGTACACCCACCTCTCCCTTCCGTCTGAAGCCTCATCGTATCCCATGCCGCCTTTCCACCAAAAAAAAAAAAAGAAGATCCTGTTCCTTCAAAAGCGATGTCTCAAACGACCCGAGGCAACAAACAAAACAACATAAAAACCATGCTTTCCTCTTCTCCCTGTCCTTTTCGTATCGTTTATCGGTATGGTGAGTCGGCGCGGATAGCAGCTGCAAGCTCAGGCTCCCACTTGTCTCCGTTGGAGAGAAGCTTCTCTGTTGAACTGTTAGTAATGATCTCGGAAATTCGACCTGGGCAGATTGTGGAGGTGGTGGGATACGCACCCTTGTTGTAAAGAAGCTCTTCTCGGGTCTCGGTGGCGTACTCGGCGTTGGGCGACTCAACGATAGCGTCGACGGGGCAGGACTCCTGGCAGAAACCGCAATAAATGCACTTGGTCATGTCAATATCGTACTTGGTTGTTCGGCGGGATCCGTCAGCTCGCTCCTCAGCCTCGATGGTAATGGCTTGGGCGGGGCAAATCTGTTGTTTCATGTCAGCAACTTAGCTGCCACTCGAGATACGTGGTGTCGTACAGCCTCGCAAAGCTTGCAGGCAATGCATCGCTCTTCACCGGAGGGGTATCGTCGAAGGGCGTGCTCGCCACGGAATCGAGGAGAAATAGGGCCCTAACTGGGTCAGTTGGTTGCGTATATAGCTTCGTTCGACGTCGTATACCTTCTCGAAAGGGTAGTAAATCGTATAACTAATCCCTCGTCAGTCCAATTCCCCTCCCTCAATATCCAAGTTGTGTATAACATACGGTGGTCGGAAGAACTGCTCAAGCAGAACATACATGCCCCTCGCCATCTCCGTCATGAGGAAAAACTTTCCCATGCGATCGAGGGTGCTCTCCCTGTCCCAGGTCCACTGCACAGGCTTGCTCGTTCGGAAGTTGGCGGGAGGGGGTCCATGAGGTGTCGCGTAGCTTCTCTGTTGAACCAGGCCGAGGATGCTAGCTCTGCTGCTGGCAGCGGAGGCGAGCTGGCGTCGCGCGATGAGTGCGTGGGCCATTGTGTCGAGGAGGATGTTCGAGGAGGAGGGGAGATTCGAAGGAGTGTCAATTGACTTGACGTCCCGGGGTCAATTGGGGCGGACGGCTGGGCGGGAGGCGAGGATTTGACGTGATGGATGTGTTCGGCTACGAAAGTTGCTCAGCGGGATTACAACGCTAGGCTGTTGATTGGCTGGAGCCGGACTCGTGACTTTGCACGTGATCAACGTCAATTGAACTTCATCACTCAACATCATGAACCAATGATAATCGCATGTTAATAAAGCAAATTAATGAGATTAAAATTCAGTTCATCTATTAATCATCCAATTGCTATGTTTTGGTATTTCAGCCGTTTCCATATGATCGTTACGTCGTCTCAATCCTCGCGGCAACTCCCTCTACGTAAATAGCCAGCATGCAAACCATCAGCTTTACAAAAACGAAAACAAAAACTCCTGAAATCATGTAGGTATCTCAAAAATTGGTTTAGATGGTCACGAGTTCCCTAAAAACTCTTCTCCCAAGCTTGCCACCAAAGGCCCATGTTTGCAGATACCAGTAGATCGAGCATCTTAAGTCCATCAGGATAGATGATGAGTTTGCCCAACTTGGCTCTCTTTCCTCGGTTGCCACCGCCGGCCTTCTCCTTTCCAAGATTGATGTCGAACGGCGAAACCATGCCGTCGTTATCGTAACCATCGCCTCGTTCGTCGCGGCGGAGTAACTTGTTGAAATGTCCTTGGAGCTGAGTCTTGACTTCCTCACGACCTTCAGCAGACTTGAAGAGTTCTGCTGTAGGAAGATTAAATCGAAGTTCGCTCATGGGCATGCCGCCACCACCACCTTGGATTTGCCCCTGACTGAATTCAGCCAGAGGATTGCTTGGTCTATCATCATGCAGAATGTGATAGCAGCGCAAGCTTCGACCAGCAGCTCCTGTACGGAATTCACATCTTCCGTTCCAGGGGCTGGTAAAGATGTATCCCCGAGGTCTCAGTCCTGGACCTGGATGCATTGAAATCGCAGGTTCAACAGGCGATGAGGCCTCGGTTGATTCGATCGATCCGACACTACCCTGTCGCCCATGTCCCTTTCCAGCACCGTCTTGCAGTTTCTCTCGCCAATTCGATGCCCAGCTTTTCGCATAAGCCATTGCAACTTGTCTCTGTAGCACAACACCACCGTCTCGTGGCTGAGTCATATCTGAGCCTGGGCCCGCATCGAAACTCCGTCGCGCAGGCATACCACGGAACTTTCCATAACCAAGAGTCTCGATCTGAACGTTTATGGGCGGGTTTCCGGAAGTTGGCGGTTGCGCAACGGGCGGTACAGAGGCGAACAGCGGGTTCGCATCGTCCTGATCAGGTGGTGGTGCTTCAGACTGGAAAGACGAAATATGTCCGACGTTCCACTGATTTCCTGTGCTGGGATCACGACGGATTAGAGCTAATGTGAAAGGCTGCTTTCCTTCATAGCTCTTTCGAGGTGAGGGAGAGCGGTTTTCGGTGTTTCGATTCGGTAGGGGAGGGCGGCTCGTCGCACGCATTCGATCAAAATCGGGACCTCCCTGGTTGGGAGGTGGAAGGGGCGGGAGAGGATGGTCGCCTAGTACGGAGGCATTGTTCGATGTCATTCGAGGTCCAAGTGGTTTCCGGGCTAAAGCAGGTTCCGGAGTCTGGATTCTGGGGACGTTCGTCGGTCGAGGTGGTAGAACCGGGCTTTCTTCCTCTTGCTCATAACCATGTCGTGCTGATGTTCGTCGAGGATCAAAGGTCGAATTGACCGAAAGGCCCCGTCTTCTCGTGGGGTCCTGGTTCTCGTTTCCGTAGCCAGGTACAGGAAGATGATCGGTCGGAGGAGGCGTCAATGGTCTTGCGCCACCAGGCAAAGGCTTCCTCTTAATATTCCGTATTGACGAGCTCTCATCACTCGAAGATCGGTGCTCGTCATCTCGTGGTGGACCGGCAGGTTCTAGCGACGGCGCTTCAAAATGGACGTAGTAAAGACAGCTGGCGACATCCTCGGCGGTAACGTTTTTTAGTTGTGGTTTGAAAGGTGATAGAATGACATCTGTGTTCAGAGGCGGTGTTAGTGTCAGATGCGGTGGGGGTTGAGAGGGGTGTTGTCTTACCTCGAGTGCCCGGTACTCTCGAGATATAGAGCGTTAGAGTGTCCTGTTTCTCCTGCGCTGGGTTGATAGGATATTGAGGCGGATTGCCCGCGAGGGTATTAAGTGCTGTTAGAGAGCGAGCTTCCATTCTTGGATGCTGTATGTTGAAAAAGGTATGATGGACGTGGGGGCGAGAAGTGAGAAGAAGCCCGAGAGCGGGAGGTTGGCGAAGCAAATAAATAAATCCACCTCCAACCTCGTTTATTCCGTGACAGAAAAAGTGCCGGCAGAATATTCGCAAAAATAGACAAGAGGAAAACGAAGAGGATATGAAATCTGGGGTATCAATTAGGTTCTAGTAAAGTAGAGTTAAGGTATTAAGCGTTACGTTGGGCCGAAGGGGAAGACGGGAGTATAATAAGTAAAACGGGTAATGTATAGCAGCAGTGAGTGATGCGACGTGGCAGAAGAGCGAGTGAAAAGAAGAAACAAGACGCAGACAATCCTTGCGTACTTAGGTTAAAAGGATCAGCCTTGCATTTTTACTCCCCTACCCATTTATTAACTGCCTACCATTCATTAACGGGAACCTAAGCTGAGGGCGAAAACCCAACGTCAGCTCAGCGTCGGGGGCTGTGCTGCGCCGTACCGTGCCTGAGAAGTAAATATTAAAACGGCCGCCTATTTTTTTGAGCTGTTGATTCTTGGCAGGGTCCATATTTGATGTTCTAGATGCTTCATGCGCCGAGACTTTAGTGTGATTGCCTACTGTTGTCCTTTTTGTTGCTATTTTTTATTTTGGAAGCTTTTGCTTGGTTTGTGATACTGGCACTTTCATGGCGATGGGCGTATTCAATGAATCGGAGTCAGAAAGTCGGAGGCTGTGGAGACGCGTCCGGAGTACGCAACGCACTCCGCGGCACTGCCGACGTCACTTTGTGGATCAGGGGTTGCGATGCCGGGCCCGAAAGGGTTCCGGGAGTTGAAAGTCTCGCACTGTGATCCTGCAGCGATCATAGCTAAATACTGTATCAATTACTTTGCACACTGTCTCTAGGTCATCCTCATCTCTCGTAATCCAAGCCACCTCCATATTCCTCTTTATTCTATTCTCAGAATAAACCCTTTCGACCCTGATTCTAATCACATGTCCAGCAAGGGCCCATCTCCAACTCTAGAAACTGGTCTTGTGCAATGCGCCGTCACTGAACTTCCGCTTACATGGAACATCCCTCCACAAACTGCCAGCGAATGACACAAAGGCTGAGCTGGATAGTTGCAATGACGTATACTCTCAGCGCATAAACTGCCAAGGGAGCGAACAGAAAGTTTCTTTTTTCATCTCATTTCTTTTAGGGCGCTCGGATCACCAAGACCAACGCTATGATTGTTCCGTGGTAGGGACTTTTGATGGCGGACGATAGATACATCATCAATGTGGCTTTGCTAATTGCTGTCATTGAAAGAATTTACACGTCAACGTGAAAATTCGCCGAATTGTGCAGAGAATTGCTAGCTCGGTCTTGCTATTTCGAGTCATGTTTGTAATGGCATCCCAGCAGAACAGGACTACCATGCCTGGATTCCAGTCTCCCCGACCCATTCAGGCTGTCCGATAACCTTTCCAACATCTTCATCCCTCTTACCCTCAATAACGTTCTTGATGAGCTCCGCACCAGTTGCTGGATCACCAGCTCCAGCCTTCTTCAGCACTTCAGGCTTTCCTCCAAGGCTCGTTGCCAAAAAGCCAGGACTGATTGACCAGACTTTGACACCATCACCCTTGAGAAGATGATGCCATGAAAGCATCATCATGTTGAGCGCGGTCTTGGATGATCGATAAGCCACAGCTGTACGGATTCCCTCCTTGGGCCAGCCACGGGGAACGTCGCCGGCGAGCTTGGTTAGGTATGACTTGTGTGCGCCTTCGAGGGTCGCAAGGCCAGAGGTCAAGAAGAGGAGGCGCGGGGATTTCGAGGCAATGAGGAGAGGAGCGAAAGCCGAAGTCATGACTTGCGTGCTTGATACGTTGACATCGTAGGACTTGTTGAAAAGCTCGCGAGCTTTCTTCGGATCGCTGGCATCATTGAAAGCATCAAAGTTTGCGCCTGCAGAGCTTAGCATAAGTGTAAGATTTAGATGTTAAGCAACATACCAGCGTTGTTAACGAGAATGTCAACTCTTCCAAACTTTTCCTTCACATGTTCGAAAAGCCTCTCGATAGCTTCATCATCAGTGATGTCAATCTGAACAACGTCCAAACTGCTCTTGGAGCTAGGACATTCGCGCTCTAATTCAGCGACAGCCTTCTCTCCTTTGGCAGGATCACGGCTTCCGAGGATAATATGGTAAGGCTTGGAAGAAGCGAAAAGAGCTTTGACAGTCTCAAAGCCGATGCCGGTGTTGGCACCAGTGATGAGAACGATTTCTTTGTTGTCGATCATGATGATGTTGGTGTTGAAGGTGAGTCAAGGTTTGAGTTGAGATAGAATGAGGAGGAGGGTTGGCCTTTATATCACATTGTTTTCTCTGTGCCACTGATTCACAGGCGTAGGTGTAATGTGAGGTAGTTACCCCAGTGCGACAAGACGGTTGCGATGAAGCGAGACTGTAACGAATGGGGTGATGCACGGGGCGGACTTAAGAACACTTCCACGCGAGGATCTCTAATAGGGGACAAGATCAAGATCATTGGCTCCCAGGGTGACACTTGGAGTGATGTTTAAAACTGGATAGATATGCACGTATTCAATGATTTGATAGGTTTTGAAGTAATGAGGTATCTTGGCTGATGTATTTTTATTAGCGGGATTGAGTGCATACAAAGTAAGAATGTTGAAATTCGCATTAATTCGACAGTAATGGGAAATATTGGATCGATATTTGTAGTATAATAAATGTTAAATACGGTTATCATCATTCTCAAATCTGTATAAACTCATATTTATACTGCTGACACTAAACCTTCCTTTTGCAGTCCATAATCTTATCCGTAAATTATACGATTCCCCCTCCCACTCAGCACATTCAGCCTCAACTCTCACCGTCATAGATATCACTTCCCCTTACACATATCGGCTCCCCGCGTCTTCTCGGACTTTTCTGTGGGACCTCGCGGCCGGAGATACGCGCGCTAAGACCCGGCGTCACACTCGGACACGGAGCAACAAAATACGAATAAACAACACCGAAGTCCGGCAGATCTCGTTAGTGCATTTACCTAATTGGGAATGTTATCACAGGGGATGTTGATGTGCTGGTCGTTTCGCGCTAGTGAGACGGCGGAAGGCCTCCGCGATGGGAGAGATGCACTTTCGGGGTGACTTTCCGGGTTCTCGTATCGGAGCGTCATCCCGATGTCTTGATTGCTTTTTGTGAGTAGAGCTTTAAATAACTGAGATGATCAATTGCGAAATGTACCCCGCATTACATAGCTAAACTACCCCGCGGTGTCGTATCTTTTGCTTGATCCCAGCATCTTCACCGACCTCCCTCTCCATCTACAGCTTGTCATCGCATCATGTCTATCAACAAAGTCCTCCTCGTCGGCGCGAACGGCAATCTAGGCTCAGTCCTTCTTGAGGGTCTGGTCGCCTCAAACTCCTTCTCCGTTTCCGTTGCCAAGCGCGCATCGTCCAAATCTACACCTGCGCACGCATCCTCTGTAAACATCGTCACGATCCCCGATGACCTTGCCGTTGAAGGTTTAATTCCAATCCTGAAAGACCAAGATGCTGTTATCGCTTCTTTCCCCTTAACAGGCGTCGTTGACCAGCATTTACGTCTTGCTGAAGCCTCTGCGAAGGCTGGTGTCAAGAGGTTCATTCCAGCTGATTTTGGGAGCTGTGACGCGCAGAGTGAACAGGCGAAGAAGCTGTTGAAGTTATATCGTGACAAGGATACTGTAAGGAGCAAAGCTGTCGAGCTTGCGAAGGAATATCCTAGTTTCTCGTGGACGTCGCTTGTGTGTGGGCATTTCTTCGATTATGGTATTCTCGATGGTCTGCTACATACGGATCTTGAGACCAACACCGCTGTCATCCTCGACAAGGGCGATGTCCCAGCTTCAGCATCTACACTCCACCGCGTCGCCGAAGCGTTAGTCGCCGTTCTCAAGCGTCCCGATTCGACAAAGAACCGTCTTCTCTACGTCCAAAGTTTCTGCAAGACACAACTTGAGGTTGTAGCAGCACTGGAGAAAGCTACAGGCGTAGAGTGGAAGAAGGAGTTTGTGGATTCGAAGGCGTTCTTGGAGAGGGAGGTTAATAAGCTAGCGGTGGAGTACAGTCATCATGCGATGGAGGAGATTGTATTTGTGCTGGGAGCGCTGGATGCTGAGTGGCCGAAGCGGGGAGATGCGTTTGCGATGAAGGAGTTGGGATTGGAGGATGAGGATCTTGATAAGGTTGTCCAGAAGGTTGTTGATGAGTGGAAGAGGGAGAAGGAGGAGAAGAAGTGAGCATGTTAGACGTTGGCATATACCAAAAGGCTTTAGAAGGTTAGGACTTGCCTCGACGGCTGGTTTGCATTTCTTGTGAAGGCCCATGATAGATCATGACAATCAGAAGCATTGACTTCGTTGTGTGCAGTGTTGATCTCACCACTCTATCTGCAAGGTGTACGTTGTGCTACCCTCTGCCACGAAAAGATGGCCTCATTCAGTCTTACTGCCATAGTATCGACAAAGTAGCTCTACAGCGGACAACGGCTCACGTAGAGTGCCCAAACCTCATCATCCCAGATATACAGAAGCATCGCTGGGACCACCGAGATGCCCAAAAACACTGATCATCTCCGCAACAACCCATCTACATATAGCTTCACCCAAAGCAAACACTCACGACCCCAATCTGGCAATCCCTACATCATGACGCTCGTATTCCTTCCCCTCACATAAATGCCGACGCTCAATGCGGCTATCCAAGAGTGATCTTCAGGGCCCTCCTACGCCATCGTTTCAGCCCCCAACCTAATCCACGTGCCTCACTTACATCACCGGCTGTCATCCTCATTCCTTCATTTGGAAAGTGGGATTCTGTTTGGACTACAAAGATCGGATCGTCGGCAAGGTTTATGATAGTTTTTGTAAAACCTCGTATTTCGGTCTGGGCTGACGATGTTGGTATTTTGGAGGTGTGAGGGTTAGGTATAAGAGGTGAGTATGTTGCTGCTGAATTGAGAGGGTTTTGTGGTATCGGTTTCAACACTGGCACCAGATTTTAATTGAAAGTTCTTCATTAAAACAATACAACTTTACCCCTGCGTATATCTTGGCAACATGTGGTCTCTCTACTTCCTCATAGCCTTTCTCGCAATGTAATCCCTCCCTTTCATCCCTCTTGCACTACACTAACACCCTCAGCTCACCCACCATCGCAAAGAAATCCTCCAAGCCCTGCCCAACCGTCACAACCACTGCAACTCTCTGCAAAACCTGCGTCGTGCCCGCCTGTCTCACCATCGAAACAATTTCCCCCCAGCGAAACTGCCCCTCGAAGGTCCCAACCTCTGGCACATCATTCCCCTGCTCCAAGTCAAAGTGTCCCAGTGGCTGCGCGACTTCTTACACCTACGCTTCAGCCTATGGAACTGTTACTAAGAAGCCTAAGTGTCCTACTGTCACTGAAACAGCTACTATCTGTTCAGATTGCATTAGACCGATGTGCTTAACCTTGGAGACGGTGAGTTCAGTTTGCGGATGTCCCGAGTCGCCTGCTACGGTTACGACCAGCTACCCTTGCGGTGAGGATTGTCCTGTTGGTTGTGGGACAGAGTATGTTACTCCTACTGTTACGCCGAATTGTAAGAAGAATGAGGATTAGAGGGTGAGGCTGGTGGTGAGCTGTTGTGGTTGGTAAGGGTTAAGGGATGATGGCGTGTTTGTGCTAAGGCCTGGAGAAAAGTATTTGAGACATGGAAGAAGTGTAAGACAGTTGTGGGATGTGCCGGTGTATTGGGTCTGGTGTTAGTCTTTTGAGAATGTCAACTGAATGTTACCTAAATGTAAACCCTTTCATTCTATTGCAGCTTATAAGTGTTGAAGTACTAAATGAGAATAAGGAATAAACCTCTCTTTCAAACAAAACCTTTCAATCAATAGGTTTGAGATTGGCAACCCAATCTTATCAATCCCAAGTCAGCATTCCTGATTATGGTGTTGATGTCTGAGACATATCTGCTACTAAGTGCCTGCCACTACGCCAGCATTGTCTGCCGCGGATTGGAACGCAAATTGCCAAACCCCATATTTTGGTAATTCTAGATTTCTTATACCCGGGAATAAAGATTGCTATTCATTGAAAGAGCTTTATCATGGAAATGCTGTGAATAGTTGACAGAGAAGAGGCTGGGGTGGAACAAGAGTATATAAGACTTGCAGATCGCTTGGCTAAGCATCATTATCAATCATACTACTTACAACAACTACCACTCATAATATCGACATCAAGACCACTATTCACACAAGTTCACAATGATTACTACAAATATGCATCTGTTAATCCTTCTGCCCATGGTCCTCCTCGCAGTCGCCCTCCCTCAACCTCACCCAAAATATATCGGCTGCGTCTCCCAAACCTCAACCTTCTCAGCAACAACTCTGCCCTCCCCTTTCACAACTCATCAATGCCTCCAAGCCTGTGCCGCTAAAGGTAGCCTCGTCGCCATTGGTAGCGACACATGCTACTGCGATAACGGTAGCGCATCTGCATCTTTCGAACTAGTCGATGAGACTCGCTGCACAGAGCTATGTATTGCCGGCGATGCGACCAGCGGCAAATGTGGAGGACAAGACGTCATGAGTCTGTACCAGATCGACGGTTGTAACGGCGGTTGTGCAAAGAATGGGACTATTCCGCCTGTGGTGCAGACTCCTTGTACGCTTTGTGGACAGGCGACGCTTGTTCCTACTCCTACAGCAGTTCAGAGGAAAGCTGGGAGCCCTTGTCCTTTTGAAGGATGTAAAGCTGCGCCAGCTCCTATTGCAACCCCTGCTGGGAACTCGACTGCCAAGATTTGCCCATCAGGAGGATGTAGTTCCAACGGGCAAGGACGCGGCCAGAGCGGTGGTGGAGAAGCTGGTGGCCAAGGCGGAACAACAGGCACGGAAAATGGATCTTCTGGTGAAGGGTCTAAGGCTGCCCCGGGGCTTGCGAACGAAAGCCCAAGATTGTATTCGCCAAGTATACTGTCAGCTATCGCAGCCGTGATCTTTGGGTTGCGATTCCTATGAGCAAAAAGGAGAAGAATGGGCGCATTCGCTTGCATGTTTTGGAGTTAACGGCTGGGCATGATTCATGATTTGATGGAAACGGAAACGGAAACGGAAACGAAAACAAAGGATAGCTTGTTGACTTGTTCATACTATAAAATGCCAACTTTGACAATATGCTACAATGTCCCAAATGAGTAATGAGCCAGTACAGGAAGGGTATCGTGAAATGGCCTCCCTACGCCTTCGGTGCCTCAGTCAACGGCACGTAGCGGACTCCAAACAACTTCTTCTTCGTAATCTCCCCATTTCCATCCTTCTCAATTCTCCAAACGTGCTGGTTGTACCCCATCTTGTCATCATCGACGGGGATGAACATGCTATAGCTTGTTAGCATACTCACTCGCACAAACGCGATCTCACTTACCACCCAGGCGCCTTCAATTGCTCCAATAGCTCTGGATGAATCTCCACTGCAGAAGCCCCGACATGAATAACATCCCAGCCCGTCCCCTCATTCTTCTCTCCCTCTCTCGGTTCCTCAACCCATCCCTTCCTCCCATCACCTAACCTAAATCTCACCTTGCCACTCTCAAGCAATCTTCTTCCCTCCTCACTTTTCGACATGTTCTTTTCACCAAGTTCTTTCAGCTGACGAATATGCTCAAGACCGACTACAAGGCCCTTCTCACCGACAAGTTCAGCCATAACGTGGGTTAGATACCCAGATCCAGAACCGATATCGAGGACCCGGGGGGCCGGCGATGTCGATGAGGGAAGAAGATAGCTGAGAACATGCTCGATGGCTGAGGCGTGCATATGCGGTGCAGATATAGTTGCTGAGTAGCCGATGGGCTGGGGTGAGTCTTCATATGGCATGGCTGGAGCGTAGTGAGCTCGGTCAACCTGGATGATCAGCATGAGCTTAAGATGGCGGCAGGAATTTCACCTTGAGGAATGCCTCTTTCACTCGAGGGTCGGTAATGAGACCATTCTTCCACATGTTCCCAATAAGAGCCGAGTTAGTGTCTCCGCTGCACGTCCACGCCATGTTGATACTAAAGAGTCTCTGGTGTGTAAGTCGACAAGTGTTTCTGTAGAGGCTAGAGACAAAAGAGGGGAGATGGAGTGATTTCTTGGTGAAAGCCACGATGACGGTGCGAATCTCAGTGATATGAAAAGTTGTAGGAGAAATTAAGATGCAAGACTGATGTTGAGTAATGTTTTACTGATTCTGGAAGGGAAGGAGTGAGTTGTAATGTTATCATCATACCTTATCGTACGTAACCCGAGCTGCCGAAGCTTGTGCGGGGCCGTTCCGTAATACGGGGATCGGCGACGGGTAACCCCACAGACCAAATCACCACTGACATTCACTAACAGGGGCTTTAATTTACAAGATCGTTCACTGCCAGGATATTAGACTGGGGAGGAGAATGTTTCGGGAATAGAGGCTTTGATCTTTCGTATCGGGTTTACGATAATTTAGCTGAAATACGGACGACGAGAACAGGAAGAAAGAGGATTCTTCGCTCATTTATGATGAGCCCTTTATATCTACGGTTCTCAGGCTGCCATCAGCTGCCAAAACATAAATACAACCAAAATCATGTTAAGAGACGTATATAGAGACGTAAGAAACTGCGTGTGACGCGCCAAACACTAAGCTTGTAGTAGGGACCAAAATATCCTTCCCATCCATCCACCCACCCAAGAAACGCCAAAAGGAAAAGAGTTAACGCCTACGTCTCTCGACTGATGCGCTTCCATGATATAAGGGTATTGTTGTACATATTCAAACCCGCTGATTTAGACTACCCGCTCGTTCGACTCTCCCTCAGCGATGATCGGTACACCAAGACCACGATCAGGGCTCTGGAGGACGAGCTGCTCGTGACGTCGTGCTCGTAGAAACTCGGCGACGCTCTTGATAAGAAGGAACCAGCCGACTACCATGAGCACGTAACCTAGCCACTCGCCTCCACTAATGCTGCCGAGATCATCGTCTGTTACGTCGCCTTGCTTGAAGCTGTGGGAATTGGGGTCGGGTGGTGCGGCGTAGCCATCGGGGCCGCTCATCGCTGGGGGCTCGTCTTCGGAAACGCCTTTCATGTAGAAACCGTATTGAATAAGGGTAATGCCGAGACCAGCGCGAGAACCGTTCTTGGCGGCGTGGGTTGAGTGGAGAAGATATGTAAGGAGGAAACCGACGAGCTGGAAGGATGTTGAGATCATGCCGTTCCAGACAAAGGAGAAGAATGAGCCAACTGGCATGCCGTCGATGTAAACCTCGTCGGGTCCTCCCATGCCGGGAGCGAGAATAGTCGTCTCCCAATATGGAGGAGCAGCATCGGCCGCGGCTTGTTCGTAGGACTATTAAAGTTAGTGACATAGCCAAAGGCTGTTTTTTTGGGCGACATACCGGTGGTAATTCGTCTTTCTCGGGATCACTGCTCCCTCTCTCCGGGCGCGCAGACAAATTGGCAAAAACACCATCTGATCCAGAACCGCCTCCTACAATTCTTGTTGGCCTTGAACCGGACGGCGTTGGTGCCGGAGCAGCCGGTTGAGCAGGTGTTGGTATTGTGTTGACATTATCCATAGATGGTGTCGAGTTCTGTCGCATCAATCGCCTCCGATCATCAACCTCATCGTCGCTATCGTCATCATCGTCAAAGGCATCGGCAAGAGTAGCATCGACCTGGCGCGTTGGTTGGGGAGAAGAAGATCGAGAGTGAAATGAGGGAGGTGGCGAGTGGGGGATCGGATGAGAGAGATTGTTGTTATTGTTGTTGTTTCGGGCGTCAAAGTCCTCCTCGTCTTGACCGTTAATCTGGGGCCTTGTCAGTTCGTTCAAAACATCGCTGCTGATTGCGCGACTCACTCGTTCGTATCGTCCGGACATGATGGGCTAATCGTCTGGCGGTGTCGGGCTGCCTCCCGAATCCGCTTACCAAGAGGAAAAGATACGCGATGTCGTAGGATGAGAAGAAGGTTGAAGAGACTCGGGAACGAAAAGAAAAAGGAGAGACGAAACCAGTGCGAGGAAAAAAAGAAAAGAGGATCTTCAAGGAACGACGGCGAAAGGATTTAGTTTTGGGTTTGGGTGTGCTTGCGTTGACTTTGAAGTTTGACGATTACGAAACAGACAGCGACAGGACGGGAGGAGAAAGCCTGCCTGGGGCGAGCGCCTTAGTCGATATGCGGACGGCGGCTGTATTCGGGTTCGGTATCGGCACAGTGTGAAGAACAACAGGGGATGGTCTAGAAGGGTCCTCAGGGGTGATGCGCCCAAGTATCCGCCCACTGAAACGTCGTGGCGCACTGTGATGCTACTTTGGCTTACGGTATCTTTTCATTCACAGCCCCTGATCAAAGTTCAGGGGCACATCAACAAAGCCAGATCTGAGAGGTTATTCTCGAGTGCGAGTCTTTGATGGAACATCGTGGAAGAATGACAAAAGAATTGATTTATTCTTTGTATGACTCTTGACTTGAACTTGCAAGTGGGCTGTGTCAGGTAGCGTTGGATCCACCTCCACATTGAATCAGATCACGGGCTTGTCCTCATCAGGTTCAAGAATGGATGAGGCATTCCATTTCAAGGGTCTCGTGGCAGCCTGAGGCAAATTACGCATGACCCAATCATATGCGTTTCGATTACAGTTTCAAAAGAGATCAGCACTGTGACGGGCACACTGTTTTATGGAATTTCTCGATGGTTGACGTCGAGATATTCTGCTGCAGAGAGGTCCAGTCCTAGCAACGACATCTTGACAGTTCACAATGTCGCGCTCATTATCTGTAAGTGACTGCATGCTCTAGAAGAGGAAGGGCTTAGTATTGACTTTTTCTTTGTAGCAAAAAATCTACTCCGACGTCTTTGCGCGCTGGCCAAAGCAAGCCCTTCGTCCCGATCACCAACTCCAAGATGTCCTAGGCAAAGCCGTAACCGGCCGATTCCAAAACTATAAGCCCTCTATGGAGCGCGAGGAGCTTCTCAAGGCGCGGGCGCTTCAATTCCTTCTCCAAGACCGATATAACGATCGAGTACGTACGACAATACAGCGAACACAATCCGGTGCTAATATTTGTGCAGTTCAAGCTCAAGGGCAGATTACTCGAGCCAAAGAGTCAACCGACATATTTTGCGGATCTAGTGAGGGAAATTGACGAGGCGCCGAATAGATCGTGGTTGGAGAGATTGGGCAAGCGATTAACAGGAATGATTCGGTTTCAGTAATTGGTGGACGAGAAAACGACTTAATGCATGGAAAAGATCCCAAAGAAGGATACTGGCATCTGACGTGTATATGTATTGTACTTGTACATTGTATCAAAAGCGATTCCCCGTATTTGCTCATGTGCCCATATCCAACGCCTTCTAGATCGCTCAGCCCTGTCTAGATGTACTTCTCGTCCGGATCTATCTTGTTAAACCACACTTGGATCTGCTCATAAGCAGTAAACACCAATCCTCCCGAAACTACCAACCTCGCCAAACGTGGCAGCGCACCACTCCAGAACGTCAAAACACCCTCCTGCTTGAAGATAGTCGTCGCGCACTTGAAGCTGTTGCCATATGTCTTTTTCGCCTCGATACTCTGCATGCGTGTCTTGATAGTATCAAGCGGCTGTGTCACATATACAGTGATCAAACCAGCCAAACCACCAATTGCAAAAGTTCCAACGGCACCGAGCTTCTCGCCAGGTGCTGTGTATGACTCGGCCATTTGCTTGAAGAAATTATAGGCGGTGAAGCGTGTTGCGCTGTTGGCAGCTTGTCGAGCGGTCGTGGGGACGAATCCTTGGAAGAAACCTCGGAGACCACGTTCGCGGGCGATGATGGGGACGGCGTGGAGGAAGCCGCGCATTCGAGGCTTAGCGGACTTGCGGTCGTCGATACTGCGATTGTAAGCTTGGGCCCTGCGGGGGAAGAAGTTAACTTACAGAGTGGTCTTGATACTCTCGGTGGGAGTCACAGCAAGCAATGACTCTGTGACCCCAGCACCGAAGCCAGCAATGACGGTACGAGGTCCAGAGAGGTTGCCATTCTCGTCGACTAGAAGCGCCTTGTACTGATCAAATGCAACGAATCCTAGCCATTGTTAGCCAATGCTACGTACGTAAACTCGGGAAGCAGCATACGGATTCCAGCCTTAGCTGCGTTGCCGATGATGAGAGTGGTGCATCCAGCATACCACTGCTTGCCGAACGGCGGCCAAGGGAGCTTCTGTCCTTCGGCTAACCGTCTGTTCAACTGCGACCTTGTCTTTGCAACTACACCAAATCAGTATTGTCCGTATCGACCCGAAGGGTGAGTAAACATACACTCGGCGGGGTAGGTAATAGCTATATGACAGCTTGGTTAGCTACATCTTCAGAGTCATGTCGTGTGAGCATACCAATCTCGATGGCGCCGGCAGTCGATCCAGCGATGATGGATCGCAAGGGACTGGGCTGCTTCTTCTTTTCGCCTGTTTGTGTTGTCGACGCCATGATTGCTGTCCTGCCCGGTTATGGTCTGCAGGTGATGTGGGTGTTGACGGGAATGGGAACTTTTTTTTTGGGCGTGGGACGGGATGGATTTCGTCACTTTTGGTACAGACGGGGAGCTGTTGTAATTTACACGTGCGCCGATGTCGCTGCAGTGTAAGTGTAACTACAGTGGTTGGCTGCTGGACGCGGGCTATGGAGTACTCCGCAAATGCTTGGGCACCGGGAACAGTCCGTTGAAACAGCCACGGATGCCTCCTTATTTTACTTACGAATCCAATGAGGAGTGCTAAGTCAACGGATAGCTACAATTCATTTCAGAATTGAACTAAATTTATGCCGCTTTTAAGTTCCAACCCGTCGGGTGTTACTGAGTCGGCATACCACGGCCCAAGTCAACTTCAACCTCGGCGCACGTTTGAGGCTACGGATACCACGCATTGTTCTAACCACGGCCCATATCTTGTTTGTTTTTGAGGCCGATATGAATAATTACGGATGGATTCTTGTGGCTTGAATACGAGTAACCCGTATGCCATTCAGGGAAAAAAAAACGAATAGCATGTTGCCCATAGGACACCACCTGCACGGTATGGCGAACAGGGCGATTACATGCTATCACCAACTCTTCGCTTGCCCACGAACGTGACTTTAATATTCTAACACATACAACATAATGCGAGGAATTGACTTTGGCTTGAGAGTATACTTTGTTCTTGGTGCTTCCCCGGCTTATGAAGCATGGAAATCCGGGCCCCTCGAGCTTGGTATACATATTCCTTCCTTTCACGCACTTTTAGAAGCAAAAGACATGAGCGTGGAGAAGATCTCTTTGTGCTTAGGCGAGCATGTAGGAGTGATTCCGTCACCGCCGGAATTCCGTGACGAAGATGGTGATGGAGTATGGCAGTCCTTCAGGACAGCCTACATCAAACAAGGCAACGCATGCCGTACCAAGGATTCTATGCTGACACTGGAAGCTGTTCTGGGGCATATCGAAAGGATGGAAGACAGGAACAGGCTTCGGAAATACTAATGCCATTGGGCTTGTGAGAGTATTCATTGCGAAGAGAAGTTTATGTATTTTTGTATGATAACTAAACAAATCCTTGCAGTATCATTTCATCTAAATGCTGGCCAACTCCACTGATGCTTCATTTCTCATACTTGAGTACTCATGTTCATTCCATCTACTTATTCCTCCCCCATTTCTGCTCCAACACAGCCTTCCACTCATTGAAACTCGCCACCTTTCCATTAGCCAACAATATCTCTCCCCTGTGCAACACTCTTCCCAACGGTGGCACAATAAACCACTGATGATCACTCCTACAGATCAGATCATCCCTATGATCGCTCGTCTTATTCCCCTCGCTCTTGATAACAGCCATGCACTTTGCGTCATACGTCTCCATGCAGTACTCACAGATGTAGTACTCATCTGAAGGAGGGATTAGATCTAGACATTGAGCGCAGTTTTGGCGCATTGTTTGGATCTCTGGGAGTTTGGGCTCGATGCGTGAAAGGACGGGTGAGTCTTCTGGAGTAGAGGTGAAGACCTTGGGATCGACTTTGCGCATGGATTGGCTGAGGGCAAGAGCGTTTTCGATGTCGTCGGCGGCGATGAAGAGGCCGAGGAGGTTATCCAGGGCGTATTCGTCGTTTTGGACATCATCGTCAGAGAGGATGTCAAGGCTGTCGTTGATGAGTTGCCGAAGATCGCGGTCTGTTGAAGAACTTCGACCGAGAAGACGATTGAAGAGGATCATGTAGATGGCTGCGATATTGACGTCTGAACCAACCATCTCAATCGGCATGTCATGGTTCTGGTGTCGACTCTGCTTCTGCTTGATCTTCTCAAGGTCTTCAAGCCAACTGTCTGCTTCCGGCGTCCTCAACCCAGCATGGAGGATACGTTCTTTGTACAGGGAAGCAAGTTTCTGGAATGCAAGAGCATAAGCCTGTCTCGTGGGAACGTTACCGCGAGGACGGTATCCAAGTTGCGTTATACCCTCAAATAAATCCAGCGCAGAATCGATATCGCGACTATAAGTGTACGTTGCGCCAAGTGCGAGACGAAGATACAGCGCCTTGAGGGGATCGCGAGTTGCGGTTGCGACCTCAATCGTGAAGAGCAGAGACTCGTAAATGAAGTCTGTTTCACCGACTTTGCTAGCTGCTTTGGGGATCCAGTCTATGACAAGAGGTTTGTTATGGAACTCGAGCAAAAAGTCAACGAGTCTTGTACGCTTGTGTTCTGCGTCAGTGACTTGTTCTGAGAGTTGTTTGAGAAACTGAAGAACAGTTTCGTGGCGATTCTCAGTAGCAACAAGCTCCAGATATCCGAGTTCAGGCTCGAAATATTCCTTGCATTCTTTGCGATCTAGACCGACGACTTTAGCGCTCTTCATTGCCTTGAGGAAGTACTCGAGTGCTTGGTCGACTTTGTGGAGTTCTTCGTAGCAATTGGCGATGAGGATGTGATCCTTGTACAGACGCCATTTGCAGCTCTTTAAAGCCTGCTCGTCGAGCTTGCCACTGGCGATACTCTCTTCTTCAATTGCTTCACACTTGAGAGTTTGTTCTAGAGCCTCTTTGAAGCGACCGTCACGCGAAAGACAGTATGCGATACGACCGCGCGTTTCAACACTGTTATTGTCGAGAGCGAGAGCCTTGTCGTAATGTCCTAGCGCCTTGTTGTGCATGTCATTCGTAAGGTATGTGCTTCCGAATCGACGATGCCAGTGTGCACTCTCTGGGATCTTTGCCCATTCTGCTGCTTTGACGATTCGGTTCTCAACAGGGATCTCAGTCCAGTGGGTATTGCAGTCGGACCAGGAGTAGCCTTCTTGCATGAAAGCGATGGATTGTACGATCTTGAAGCAGAAGAGGGTGGGTATGTATTTCTTGAAGTCTTCTGAGAGCCACGCTCGAGCGTAGAGGTCTCCGATGGGCTTGAAGATACCGGGAGATTCTTTGACACC